CTCTATGGCGTTCCTCACGGTCAAACGATTCCAACGCAACCTCCCTTCCCCTCATTGGCCATCGGTGCAATGAGATATTTCACTTTAAACCGAACTTTTCGTGAGCCCACAAGCCTATTTGGTGAAAAAATGAAATTTCTTTAGAGACCTTTTTTCTTGCAAATTCCAACTCTATGGCGTTCTTCTCGGTCATATGATTCCAACGCAACCTTCCTTCCACTCATTGACCATTGGTGCAATGAGATATTTCACTTTAAACCGAACTTTTCGTGAGCCCACAAGCCTATTTTGTGAAAAATGAAATTTTTTAGAAACCTTTTTTCTTGAAAATTCCAACTCTATGGCGTTCTTCTTGGTCATACGATTCCAACGCAACTTCCCTTCCACTCATTGACCATCAGTGCAATTAAATATTTCAATTTAAACCGAACTTTTCGTAAGCCCACAAGCCTATTTGGTGAAAAAAAGAAATTTCTTTAGAGACCTTTTTTCTTGCAAATTCCAACTCTATGGCGTTCCTCACGGTCAAACGATTCCAACGCAACCTCCCTTCCCCTCATTGGCTTTCGTTGTCTCATGCCTATATTTACCCAACGCAACCTCAATTTTGAATATACAATTTGGGAAAAAAGACTTTGCACGTGAAAGTAATCAAGATAAATTGAGGACTAATCTTTTGTCTTGTAAGGTAATTCTAGTACAGAAAGTAGAGATGGTGACATGAGACATGATGGCTAGTGATTTGACATTCGAACAACTGATGCAAGAGAGAAAGAGAGAATGATAGGGGGGAGAGGATGTGGTGGAGGAAAGGAATCTGAGTTCTCAAAATAGGCAATTCAATAATGGTGATAGTTATTAGACGATTACAGTTGGGAGGAAAGTGGGAATTGAATGCTGTCACCCAAAGCCCCATTTGGGATTAGTTATGGGGTTGGATGGAGTTTGACACTTGAGATGGTGATATGCATTGCACGTTACACTAGTAAACTGAAATGGAGGTGAGACATTTTAATTTATAGCTTTCACATTTTGTTTGTTAGTTAGACTTAGACCAACTCTGATAGAGTGCAAGAATTATATGATATAGGATAAGTCTTCTCGAATATAATCTCGCATAGGTGAGTTCCGCTTTGTTTTTCCTAGGCGCCACCCTTTACAATTTTTGAACTAGGGATGGCGTCGTCGTTCGACTTTTCTTCAATTGGGGGAGGCACCTCCGCCTCCTCGTTTCTAAAATTATGTATTTTCTCATGTGTCGTTCCTCCATTCGCTGGGCGCCTTCGGATCTCGCGTAGGTGGGTTCCGCTTTGTTTTTCCTAGGTGCCACCCTTTACAATTTTTGAACTAGGGGTGGCGCCGTCGTTCGCCTTTTCTTCAATTGGGGGAGGCGCCTCCCCGTCTTTGTTACAAGATTTTTTCTTTTCTGAACTCTCTTGCTTGTTTGAGCGCCACCCTCCGAGCTTTTGTTAGGCGCCGTGTTTAAGCTTCTCATTTTCCCGACAGTTGCTCTATCAGGAGACTCTGCGCGCCACCTCCTCCTTTGTTTGAACGCGCTCACCGAGTGTTTGTTTGTTTCCCTGCTCGAGCGGTGCTTCCCCCTCTTTCGTCTTATTCTTTATTTGCGATGTAGGTTTATCCGTTTCAAGGCGTCTAAGGCGCCTTTCCTCCTAAGGTTACGGGGCATAATAGCGGTTTTTTGCCCGCGCGTTACCTGCTTCGGCGTTACACCCGATTCTCCTCCAAGACTCGCTTTTCTGCCCACCTCTCTCTCTTTGCCATGGCGTCTAATAACTCGCAGCCATCAGCTTCTATGGGTGGCGCCTCCGCTCCCTCTAAAGGGAAAGCTAAAGCTTTGAGGGTAACATGTCCAGTGTGGAGTTCGAGCCTGAAACGGGCAAATTTCGAGCTTCTGACGACCCCGACTACTGCGTTTTGCGATGGCGTGGCTGAAGTCTCCCCACGCGTACCCCTGAAAAGGAGGTGACGCGTTTAGGCTTCTCCTCGACGGAGGAAGCGAGCTTGAGTATCCCGTGCGTACCCTTGAAAAAGTGGTAACGCATTTAGGCTTCTCCTCGACGGAGGAAGCGGGTTTGGGTGACCCCTTCTGTCAAGGCAGGAATGTTTTGCGAGGGATATGGACAAAATATCGCCTCTCATGGGGACTCGTAAAACGAGCGCCCGACACTTGGATAAAAATCCACGTGTAAGCACTAGGGCTCTTCCGCTAGTCGCGGGTAAAGGCTTTGCCAAGATGAATATCTTGAGCAAGAATCGGTTTCTCCTACGCGTACCCCTGAGAAGGAGGTGACGCGCTTAGGCTTCTCCTCGACGGAGGAAGCGAGCTTGAGTATCCCGTGCGTACCCTTGAAAAAGTGGTAACGCATTTAGGCTTCTCCTCGACGGAGGAAGCGGGTTTGGGTGACCGACCCCTTCTGTCAAGGCAGGAATGTTTTGCGAGGGATATGGACAAAATATCGCCTCTCATGGGGACTCGTAAAACGAGCGCCCGACACTTGGATAAAAATCCACGTGTAAGCACTAGGGCTCTTCCGCTAGTCGCGGGTAAAGGCTTTGCCAAGATGAATATCTTGAGCAAGAATCGATTTCTCCTACGCGTACCCCTGAGAAGGAAGTAACGCGCTTAGGCTTCTCCTCGATGGAGGAAGCGAGTCCAGGAAGACTCCATTTGTTTCTCTATGATCACTTTCCGCAGTAGTGAATTTCCATTTCCTTTCTGGGAAGGCGGCGTCATCAGATTCGAACGCTTCTTCTTCTAGTGAGGCGCCTACACCCTCCCGTGGGGAGTTCATGGGTGGCACCTCAACTTCCTGCATCTTTCCTCGGAGGCGCCTCCTCTCTTCCGTTGCTTCTTGTGAATTGGGAGGCGCCTGGTCGTTGGCCTTGGTGAGTGCCGTCAACGCGGTCATGACTTGGTCTAGTTGGCCTTGCATGCTCGCCATTTGAAGTGTTTGCTTTTCCCGAAGCTTTGCTAGCTGGCCCTCCAGGCACTCCGTGCCTTCTCTGTCTCCCAATGGATCGTCGTCGTCAGATTCTTCCAAACCTTTGATGGTGAGTGGTTGAGGGTTGATAGCCTCGCGACCAAACCTCGTCATCAGCTTCGAACGCTTCTTCTTCTGGTGAGGCGCCTACACCCTCCCGTCGGGAGTTCATGGGTGGCACCTCAACTTCCTGCATCTTTCCTCGGAGGCGCCTCCTCTCTTCCTTTGCTTCTTGTGAATTGGGAGGCGCCTGGTCGTTGGCCTTGGTGAGTGCCGTCAACGCGGTCATGACTTGGTCTAGTTGGCCTTGCATGCTCGTCATTTGAAGTGTTTGCTTTTCCCGAAGCTTTGCTAGCTGGCCCTCCAGGCACTCCGTGCCTTCTCTGTCTCCCAATGGATCGTCGTCGTCGGATGCTTCCAAACCTTGGATGGTGAGTGGTTGAGGGTTGATAGCCTCGCGACCAACAACTTGCTTGAGAGGGGTCTTCGTAGGTGCTGGACTCCTTTCTTCTCTCTTCTTTGAGTTGGAAGCGTCTTTCAAAGTCATGCTTGGCCCCACGGTGGGCGCCAATTGTTTGAGCCCAATCGACTGGGGGTCGCTCGGGTCCAAGGGGTTTGGGGTGTCAGCCATGACCTTGAGGGGGTAGGCGCCCCGCCTCGTCCGAAGTAGAAAAAGAGAAGAAGTATATAGAGAGAGAAAGTAGAGAGAAGTTAGAGTAAGAGTAGATAGATTGCCATTTATGAGGAGAGAACTCCTATTTATACACATTTGGGGGTTAGGTCGTGGTCTGGGCGCCTGCCAAGCCATAAATGCAGTGGTCGGGCGCCTCAGACTCTCTGACACTGTACATTGTACTTTTGGCAGGGGGTGTCCCCCTGCCCCTAGTCCTTGCTGATGTAAGGTGCCTGGACTTGTCTCCTTGTCTTTTTCCCTTTGTCTTCTTTTCTTCATTATGTCATTAACTAGGCTCTTGCCTTGGGGATTGCTATTGTACCCTATCAGGTCTAATTAATGTTGTTGCCATTTTAGTTTTGTTCATATGCTTGGTTCATGTGAATGACTGAAGGAGCTTTGGTCCATATTGGAATTTTATGTTACCCTACTAGGGATATTGACTTGAAAAAGCTTTTGAATACATTAAGCTACAGACTTTCGTATTCTCAAGAAAAAACAATGGTTCTTAGGTGCGACTATATTATAAGTTCGTTGACACTACGACAATTAATCATGTATTGTATAGACTAGTACGAGGTGAACTCTCGTCATGATTTTGGCTAATTGGTGGCTTGGGGATTGAAGCATCCCCCAAGAGACTGACCACTACGAGACTATTTGCAGGTACCCCAAGGAATTTGGGAGGGATATATTTGTATGAATTGGATCGTAAAGAATCACTTGATGTTCATTCAACCTGTATACTTAAGAATAGATGCAATTTGTATACCCAAAAAATTGATAATATCACGATAATTAAGAAAATATGTTGTACATCACGAATAGATGCAAGATAGCAAGATATATTGCCGCGAGATACATAAATATCACGACATTTAAAATTATCACGATTAAGTTTAAATATCATAGTTTTAACATTACCATGTGGTGGTTTTAACATTACCATGTGGTAAATAGAAATATATCGCGATATATTTTATTTATCTCGAGATTTTCGGCTTATCGCGGTGCGCTGCTGTATCGCGATATTTATTGAAAACTGCGAGATGACGAAACTAATTGCGAGACAGACGAGTGAAACGTCAAAACTCGAAAGATTTCAAATTCTGAAAAACCAAACCGAAATGCGAGAAATTGACGAGATATCATGAGATGGCGATATATCGTGATATTTTGACTTTCTACGATATATTGACTGATTGTAAATGGGCCCCTGTATTGATGGAATAATAGGCCCTGTCCCTCTAAATACGGCCCAATTTATTGAGTAAGAAATGAATAAATTGGGCCCTTATCCCGCCCAATTTATTAATACTTGGTATTTCGAAATATTTAGATAATAAAAATGAAAATATATAAATGGAAAGGAAACACGAGAAGAAAACAGAAAATTCGTCACCTCGATTGGAGAACCAATTAACGAGATCCAGAAACAGATAAGCATCGCGTCGAATCCGATCAAATCATTCGCCGACTTTAGGGTTTCGCAGAAGGGCGAAGGAAGGAGTAAATATGGCGCTGAAGTTCTTGAACAAGAAGGGATGGCATACCGGCAGCTTAAGGAACATAGAGAACGTCTGGAAAGCAGAGCAGAAACACGATGCCGAGCAGAAGAAGTTGGAGGAGCTCAAGAAGCAGATTCAGGAGGAGCGCGAGCGCTCCGAGTTTCGCCAGCTCCAGGAGGAAGCTGGTCTCGTTCCGTAAGTTTAGATTGCTGGCAAACCTTCCTGCCTTCAATCATTCCGCAAGTTCTTCTAGGGTTAGGGTTTCCGTTTCTCAATTATGAAGTCTCTGCTGATTCAAACCTGTTTTGGTTGTTGGCAGGAGGCAAGAGCGATTGGAATTCCTGTACGATTCAGGACTGTCCGTGGGGAAAGTAAGCGCCAGTTCTTCTTCTGGCGCCGGAGTAGCATTCAAGGAACTCGAAGAAGCTCTTCCTGGCGGCAGCAAGACTTCGGAGGGAGTTGTTCCTCCTTCGTCTTCTTCAGCTGCTGCTGCACCAGGAGCTTTGTTTGAGGACAAGCCTCATTCCGCCAATGACGCCTGGAGAAAACTTCATTCTGATCCGTTGCTTATGATTCGCCAGCGTGAGCAAGAAGCTATCGCCCGCATCAAGAACAACCCTGTCCAAATGGCTCTCATTCGCAAATCGGTATTTTGTACTTTTCTCCTTCCCCTCTTATCTGGATCGAATCAACTTATATATATAGAACAAAAGGTAACACTTTAATTTGCAATGAAACAGGTTCAAGCAGATGGAGAGAACGAGAAGTGTCGTGACAAAAAGGAACTCGGGAAGAAACACCGTCATGGTGATGGAAAGCACAGCAGACGTTCATCATCTAAGCAAAAACCGGATTCAGAAGATGAAGATGATGAGACAGACCGAGTTAGGAAGAGGAATTCTAATAAACACAAGAGCTCAAAGAAACACGAGGATCCGGCCTTAGACGGTGAATCTAATGGAAGAGAAAGCTGGAGAAGTAGGAATGATAGCTCTAGGGGTCTGAGAGACAGGAATCATTCTACTCCTGGTCGGTTCTCTGACAGAAACCAGCGTGAAGAACAAGACTACGAGCTGCCAAAGAGTGATAATAAGAGGTATTCTGATGACCGGCCTGTTCAAAGAGAAAGAGTTGACCATGATTCTTATCGGAACAAGTGGAGGAACCGAGCTCCGAAGCTGTCAGAAGAAGAAAGAGCAGCGAAGCTACGGGAGATGCAGATGGACGCTGAGATCCACGAAGCACGGAGGTGGAAGCGTCTGAAGAAAGCCGAGGAGGAGGACGTAAAGGAAGACACTCGGGCCAAGCAATCTCACAGCGTGAAGAACTTCTTGGATGTCGCGCAGAAGAGTGTTTATGGTGCGGAGAAGGGTGGAAGCACTACCATTGAAGAGAGTGTACGCCGCCGAGCTTATTACTCGCAGGGAAGGTCGGAGGCAAGCAGCGGAAATGCGTTTCGGCGATGATCCATGGATGATAATTCTTCCCGGTCTTTACTCCCTCTGTTCTATCATCGTTTAACAGGTGTGCTTTGTCAAATCTTGTTTGAAGTTGAACCATGTCAGAGTTGTGTAATTGATAGAATTGTATTTCCAACAACTTCTCTATGTGTAATTGATAGAATTGTATTTCCTCCAACCTCCTGATGGCCTCTGTTTCCATTTATGCAGAGGGAGGTATACATTTGTTCGCAATTTTTTTAAGAATATTGTTTGTATTGTTTGATAATCAACTTGTCTGTTGAATGCTGATAATCAGTGTCATAGTGGTAAGTGGTAACAACGTTACCTAAATTGATTTTCGTTATGGTAATAGTTTGTCATAATATGGGGAGTATACCTGGTTGGAGCCTACTTCAGATGAATTCACTTATGGCAGTTAGAGGACAAGAAGTTGGGCAAAGAGATTTACTGTGTGCCGACCCATTATAACGTGGGATGAAAAGGTAAGAACAGATATTTCCGGCTCCCAGTTTAGTCTGTGTTTGAAAGTAAGATTACTGTGCTGAATTACAAATTAAGATGCCTTAAAAAAGGAGTATCCGCAGAACTACCCAACATAATGAAGCGACGAGGGGCAAAATTACAGTTCCATTTGAAACTGTCAGGCTGTTTTAGCTCCTGGGAGTCTACTGCGCGCTTCTCTTCCTTACTGATTACTACTTGCTAGCCACGGGGAGTAGACTAATCCACCGGTACGGTGAAGCAGTCAAAGGGCCACAATTGGAGGCGATTGAATATGAAGAGGGCTGGAGGGTGAATCACTCCCATCAATCTTCTGCCTCTTTTTGGGTCCCTCCCCTTCTGAATCTTTTGCTTTTGATTCAGGTTCAGGATTCTCCTCCCCAGATTCACCAGCACTAGCAGCAGCTGATGCAGCTTTTGCTTCTTCAAACTGAGCTTGAAGCCTCTCGATCACTGCCATCACTTCGCTGTTAATCTGTTTTTCAGACAAGACACAGAAATTAGGAGAGAAAAAGCAGGCAATCCATGCTTTGTATAAGCACCACAATGCAAACCTTTATGTCCTGGAGGAAGTCAGAAATGTCAGTTGGACAACAAGGGCAATTCAGCACATTCTTCTTAGCACGCAGAGCACGGCCAGCTCTGCTTCTCTCCACAGTGAACTGCTTGTTCGGGAATTTCTTCTCCAGGCAGTCCTTACAGAAGTTGTGGGTGCACGGTGTCGTGACTGGCTCCTTCATCACTTGCTTACAGATGAGGCAGTTGAACTCTGCAATTTGTCAAAAGGTGATCGATCAGCAGACGGCACAATGAATCACGTTGAAGTACATGATAAAAAGGAGGGTCCTCCCACCTTTCAGAAGCCTTTCTGTAACACTCTGAGTCTGTGCCTCCTTAATAGCTTTCCTTGCCCTCCTGATCTGGGTAGGATCCGCAGGGTCCACTTTCAATCTGCTCAGCGGTGGAGGTGTCTTCCATGTCCAACGGCTACTCTTTTCCTGCGACCACCAAATAAGCAGTTCAGATCATATGTTTCATCGATTATGAAGACAAATAAAGGAGCTTTCATTAGACTCACGTCAAAGTCCCATGCTGGGTCATCTTTCCTCTCTGTTAAATCTTTGGCCTTCTTCAACTCTGGGATGTTAGGCAATGGTCTAGGCCTGTCACCATGCTCATCACTGTGACACAGGAAACAAAGTTGTAGCTTGTCATAGAGGGAACACTATGTACTGAAACAAGTGCAGCAATTGCAACTGGTTTCATACCTTGTCCATGGTGCAGGCTCGTTGTCACATCTAATGAACAGATACCTACATACTTGAAAACCCTGAGGAGCAAACGGCAATCTATTAGCATAACTATTCAAATGTTTGGCTCTTGTTAGTTGGCATTATGCAGCAAATAATGGATGCCTCACCTGGATTCCAACTTTCCTCCAGCATTTCTCAACCCTATAGACGCCATCATAGCGTACTCCAGCCTCTGGCGCGTAATTTGAGCGTTTTTCCTTGTGCGACCTGGCTCATAGAAATAGTATTATTTGCAAAGTGAAAAGAGCTAGCCTCAGAGCATAACAAGTAAAGAATCGTCACAGGTAGAATGTTAATTTTACACCGCTATAAAGGGAAACCAATAATCTTATAAGGGTGACTAAATTAGCCATCAACCATGCTGCCGCAACATGACATAGTAACTTTGATCACTTCCAACATATGAAACGCATCTCTCGCTTTCAATATAGAGACACCTGCCAATTGCTAGCTGGAGGGGCATCAAACAAACACAAAGGCATTGATGTGAAGGAAAAGGTGGGTAGGTCTTTACCTCACAACTCGAACAGGATATCCTTTTATGCAGCTAAGTCTAAGAGACTGATTTGCTGCTTCAAACTTCTGATCAGACGACTGGTCTTTGTTGGTCCTCTTGTTTCCGCTAAGATCCCTCCCTCCGCTGCCCAAACACACGAGTATTTCACAAAACAGATCAATCAACAAATTAGGAGACCATAAAATTAGTAAATCTGCATCAAAATCTTTTCAAAGTGGAATCATAAGAGCTGGCAAAAATCCAGAATAAAACAAACCTTCCAGTGTACAGAAACCATTCACCATGATCTTCATCGTCTTGATACCCTCCAGAGAGTGCAACGGATTGTGCCCCGAACTCAGCTTGCCCATGGATACCCGAAACATGAGGACGATGGGCCCCCCATTGCCTGCATTCCATTCTATCCTCCCAGCACTCACCTACAAGAACACCCTGATTTCTCTCTGGATCATTCTCAGCAGGGATAGGTCCCAAATGATCCGGAGGCACAGTCACAAATATCTTGCCACTTGCAGCATTGGCCTTGCCAGTCTTCTTAGCCCGCTCAGTCCTGTAAGCTTTGTCAGGTCTGTTCTGGTTGTGCACAAAATGATACACCCTAGCTGGCGCTCCATCCGAGATGAACTTAGAGACCCTAGCCATACGGATAGCCGCGACGAGGGCAGAGTTGATGCGGGGCTGAGCTGCCATCTTCCGGGGAATGTTGGCGCGGCACTTTGCACAGGTGGTTTTTCTTTGCTGCCCTGTCCATTTCTGGAAGCATTTCAAGCAGAAGTTGTGGCCGCAAGGTGTCTGCAAATAGAGAAAGGAACGCCAAATGAGGGATAAAGATTAATATATCGAAGATTAGGGGATTGGGGTTTCGATATCATAACTGCTCATGACTAGATTTGGCCCAGATTTCATTAATTTGTTCAACTCTTCAGTTAATGTGATTCACTGCTTTAGCATTTTAATTTCAGGGAATCCCGTAGTTCTCAGCAATAAACAGCAAAACAAAAACAACAGGCAAAGATACAACTCTATGGGAAGTGCTTTCGTAAATGTAAAACTGCACAAACAAAAGAGTACAGTGCCGTCCAGAAGAAACTTTGAGCATCAATGGCGGGACACTCGGGATGTGGTATTCTTTCGGCGTAGCTAGAGGTCTCGAGTCGGATTAGAAAATGCAGATCTATCAAGTGAGACACAGCCATCCAGAAAAGAAGAACATCGCCAGACAAGGAAGAGATAAACAATAAACGAGACTAAAAGGAAGGAAAAGGAGAAGATTCGAACTCACAGTGACAGGCCTCTCAGGCAGCTGCATGCAAAAGGAGCAATTAAAGCTCTCGCCGAGGAGTTTCAGCGCATCCATCTCAGCACTCTTCTTCCCTTTCTTGTCAGCATCTCCGCCTTCTTTCTCTTCATCATCATCGTCATCGCCCTCCTGGTCAACCTTCTTTCCACCCAACAGTTCCTGTCTCTTCCAAGCCTTTTCCTGCTCCGTCAGCGTCGAATCAGCCTCAATCGCTCTGATCGCAGCCACCAGCTCGTTGCCGGAGGATACCGGAGCAGCAACAGGAGCATCGAGGTTGCAGTCGGGACACTGCCACTGGAGGACGGAAGCCATGGATTCTGGCTTGGAAGACAGGCAAGGGACGTGCCATGGTGCAGCACAGGTGGAACAACTCAGGGTCTCTTCGGCTGGTGGCTTGGCATTGCAGACCATGCAATGGCCGTTGCCATCGCAAGGGAGCTGGATCATGTTGGCCATGGGAAAAGGATGGGAGAGAGTTTAGGGTTTGCGAATTTGGGGGAGAAATGGGAGAGCGGATGTCTGGGGCGCTGACTGTCTGTAGAATTATTTAATGTGTATATATTGATTTTTCTTTTTTTAGGCGTGAATGGAGAGCGGGGAATTTCTCCTATGGAGCAAAACTCGAAGCGCCATCATTTTGAAATTTCAATCGCAGTTCGCAATTACAGTTAAGTCCCTATGGCAGTACTTGGTTCTTACTTTTTTTTTCCTAGAGATATCTCATCGAGGACAGAGCAAATACTACGACAAGAAGATATAATACACAAGATATTTGCAGGTCAAGTTGCACAGAAAAATGAAGTAAGAGCCGCTGGTTGGTCACAAACAATCCAATGATGCGAGGGTTTTTTTAGTTACGAAATGGACAGCTCTATTATAGTTATGCGATGTGAAATGAAACGAGGCACGCAGTAAAAGGAATGTAAAACATGAACATAAAAAATGAGGCTTTCACCAAATGCGTGCTTTGAATCCTTCAAGTTAACCATGCATGTTGTCTCTTGAGAATCACCATAGAATAAAAAGTTAGTTACTCAATGTGGGAGGCATCACATGAGAGCATCCATACATGCAAGAAGCTCAATGATTGATGTTTTCAATATAATCATAAAAACGCTCAAACCATCGGAATGGCCACGTGTGCATCGCCACAAACTAGCTAGTCTTAAAAATATTGAGACAAACTCCAACGAAAAGCATCTAAAAAAGCTAAGAGTTCAATGACAAATTGGTCAAAGATATCTTAACTAGCTGCACGACGACAACCTAGAACCGTCATAAATTCTAGGCGTCAATTCCCCTTATAATAGCTTGACTAGTCGGTATAGTCAGATCTCAATTTCGTAAAAATATTTGCGTTGAGATTTCAATAGACGAGTGTTACCTACGTAGGTGACTCTTCAATCTTCTGGCTACACCAAAGAGAGGGAGGCCTTGTCTTGAAAGATCTCGTATCTTGGAATGTTGCAGGTTTAGTTTTGTTGTTGTTCATGCAGGGTGGCAGTTTCTGGGTCGCATGAATTACATCACATAGACTTAAGAATCATTCCTTTTGGGAGCTTAAGCTAACTGGTATAGGTTCATGGATTTGGCGCAAAATGTTGAAGTTGCGTTCTTGGTTCCAGTTCAGGTTGTCCACTGATTCTCAAGGTATAGAATGTTGGGAAGGGCAGTCGATGCCAAAGTTTTCAATTAAAACGGTTTGGAAGTCTATTAGAGAGAAGAGACTAGAAGTGCATTGGTGGAAAGTATTGTGGGGTAAGTTCACAATTTCAAAATACAAATTTATTGTCTGGTTAATCATCCTTAACCGAATCAAAACTCGAGACGAGCTGAAGCTATGGAAGGTGATTGTTGATGATCAATGTGTGTTGTGTGGTTTGCAAAGTGAGACGAGGGAACACTTGTTATGTGAGTGCAACTATTTTCTTGATTTTGTTGCCTCTCTTTTTGGCGGTGGCTTTAGATTACCTACAGATTGGCAGCAGATGATGGAAGTTATAGGGAGCTGGAGTAGAAAGACTGAAGGGTTGGTTCTTCGCTCTTTGTGGTGTTGGGGAGTTGGGATGCTTTGGAAGGAACGTTATAAGAGGGTTTTTGGAGAAGTAGCTCGCAGTGCGAACTCTTTAGCCTGTGTATTAAAGAAGGAAGTTCGCTTTTACATGTTGGTTAACCACGAGTTATTACATCTTGTATGGCTTTAAAGTCAAAGTACTTTTTTCGACTTCTTGTATTGTTTTAGCCAAGAATGAGCTTAATAGAAAATGCTAATTACCGGGGGAATCATCAGTGATACAAAGTGAAATAGTTATTGTTCCTCTCCCCCGTTTCTTTCCGTTTTCATGAAAAATTCATAAGGCCTTCTTTGTATGTTGTATTAATAATATTAGAATAAATAGCACATTTGATAATTAATATTACTAATTTGTTTCACGTTTGTCACTTAAAACATCTTATTAGTGGCCACTATAATTAATCCAACATTCTAATCTTTGTCATTGATTGTCAACTTCTATTAATGTCGTTAGTTTTTTTTATAACATGGCTTATGGAAATGCCAAGTCACCGAAATTAAACCATAAAAATTGAAAACCCGACCCGCCACGTAAAAAAACTCAACTCAACCTCACCGCACAATTTCTATAAATCCAATCCTTTGTCGCGCCTCTTCTCTCTACACCCCTCCTCCTATAAGTGGCGTAGCCAGGATTTTACGCAAGGGGGTGTCATTTTCTTAATTAAAATAAACATATCTTATATGTGAAATTATTAATCCTATGCAGACTCACAACGTTTTTCCACTATATATAAATTTTAAAATATATGTTCTTCGTATAAACTATCAAAGATATTATTGTCAATATATATATCCTACCAAATGATTCATGATTTTGCTTGTCATTCCATCCATAGAGAGTTACGTTAAAGTCAATCTAGTGATTATGGATAGCCGAGGAACATAGATTGGAATGAGATGGTAGAGGTGAACGACTTAGTAACCACGTTTGAGTGGACAGTTAGATATTGGACGCATAGTAGTGTTGTGGGAGGTTAAGAGTCACCACAATTTAGATTTAACTATTATCTAAAACATCAGAGATTGAAAAGATTGAGTTAATCATATATGAATTTTATTTTATTCGTGTACAAACTATAATATAGTTTATATAATTAAAGATAATTTAAATGTACATCCTTAATTTAGTTTGATGGTAGAAATAATTAAGTACAGGGAATAACCTTCTATATTCAAGTTCCATTGCAAGCAACCTACTATATATACCAATTTTTAACCCTTTCTCCAATTCAAGGGTGTGCAGGGGCACCGCCTCGCTACACACTCCCTCCGCCCCTGCCTCTTTTACTCGTCGCGATGGCTTCCCAAATCATAATACAAACCCCAATTCCTTCTCATTACCAAAAGTATCCCTACACGTTCTCAAAATCCTCAAATTAATCAAGCCTCCCTTCGTCAAGTCGGTAGCACATGCCTGGCCCATAACCAGGTTGATCTCTTCATTGTCTTCTTCCACACTACTGACCCCATTAACCAAAACTGCCATGGCTTTTAATGAAATGCGTCAAGTGAAGCCATCGAGGAATTAGAGGCGGAGGACACCATGCACGGATGCAAGGGCGACGGTGGGGGTGTTGAATAAGAGGTTATGTTGGTTGACGATATTGATGTGGAATACGACAATCATTGATTTGAATTTGGCGCGTGCGGCAAAAAGCCTTAGCTTGACCTCCACCTCCATTTATACCACAATCATTTGTTTGAAAATTTAAAGGGGAGTGGTTTATCGTTGAGATTTGGCGGGCGGGGTTGTTGGTGAGGCTGCATTGGGTGTGGTCGAGGAGTTGGGCGAGAGCATCGCCAACAGTAGGCATGGCGATGTCATCGACACAGTTGCGGGCTTTTTCAAAATGGAGGATTGGATTTCTATAAAGGGTCAGGTCACAGGTTGGATTGGATTTTCTTACATTGCGGGTTTTATGACTTGTCGGGTCAGTTTAATTTATCCCTTGTTAAATTTGGGTGACTTGGCATTTTCGTCAGTCGCGTCATAAAAAACTAACGTCATTAGTGACCAAAATTGAAATATTGGATTAATTATAATGATCACTATTGGAATAAAAAAAAAGTAGAAACAGTGCATAAATTAGTAATCTCGATGACCAAACATGCTATTTGCTCTAATTATATTTTCAATATGGTAGACATTATGGCGTACTCTAGCAACTACGGAGGCACTCAGACTAAGAGACATTGAGGCGTTGTCCATGTTTATAGTCTGTTGGGCATCGTTTGAAATGTTGGAGCATATGTTATTGTTTTCCCAATAGTGTTGGAGTTGTGGCAGGCTTCTGACTTTGGTTAGTCCGGGAGGAAACCAATGACCAAAATTTTATCATATTATAAGAGCTACGTGGATGCGTGGTCCCTCGCCAAAGATAGTGGTGAGACTGGTCTGCTTGTTGTGGTAGACTTGGAAGGCCCATAGGTCGTAACTGTCTTTTATTTTGTGCAATATCAAGTGGAATGCTTGGTCCGTCAATACAATGTGCACGTTGAGGAGTGGATAAAGGTGTTTATGCCTAGTATGGTGGGGGGGGGGGGGGGTGCTGAGGAAGACAAGAGTGGGGGAAGCCTACAGGTGGCTAGGGCCCTCGCAAGATGATGTTCCTTTGATGGTGTTGCTTGCGCATATTTCATTCTGTGGTAGGGGCGGTGGTAAGCGACACAGGTGGGTCGGTGTTTTGTCCAAGGGGATTACGTATAGGGATGTGATTAATCTATTTATTGTGTAGCTATTGAGTATTGGTTGCGGGATACATTGATTACGACTTGGACTGCATTATATGGAGCTCATATGACATGTGGAAGTCGTTATTGAGCGTATAGATTTGGTGATGGTTCGAGATGGCCAGGAATGGGTGCATTGGAGGAGTAGGCTCAGTTTATGAATGACCATTCGGGCTTTAATGTTCGGTTTGTTGATATGGATAACAATAGGGGGGCTAAGAAATGCACTTGCTTTGTTTCCAACCTCTACAATATGTTCCGATTTTGAGATTGGCTTCATTTGAAGGTTAACATTTTTATCTTTAATTGATGTGAAGAATTATAATTTTCATTGTGATGAAAATAAGTGAAAAATATGGAAGTGGTGAAGTAGTATTGAAGAACGGTGGTGTGTTTGTAGAGGAAATTGAAGAAGAGAAAAATAGATGTTGGAGACATAAATAGCTGTTAGGAAGAATTGGGGGCTAAAAGTGCATTTTTTTTTAATCAGCAACGGTCACATCCCACGCCCACCCGCGCGTCAAACGCAAACGCGAGCTACACTTATGTATTTGTTGGTGCGTGCGTCCCGACGACGAAGATCTCCGGGTGGTCTGTGGTGGGGCTTCAGCAGTTTAGCATTCCTTGTCTTTTTGTGTCCAAATTAATAAATTACATCAAAATGTTCATCTTGATTATTTATTACTATCCATATAAAAATAATGAATAAATTATATAATTAAAATCTACATTAAACTAGATTAGGAGCCAAAATAAATTTTGACACTTTACCGTTCTAGCACTTCTTATTGGAGCAAAATACACTTTATGGGAATAAAATTAGTAATATTAATACACAAGTTAAATCACTGTTGCATACGATAATTTCGCTTCTCCTCTCCACATCACTATTCATAAAAGGCTGAAATTCCATGCGGCTAGACCCACAACACCACAGTGTACCCACAAGGCCACAAATCCGTTTCCTGGATACTTCCATACAATTAATTATGTGTTGGGTAGGCCAAGTCAGGCTTCTCTATTCTCTAACCAATGCGTTTTGGGAGAAGTAGGATACATGGGAATTGAGATCGTTGTTGTGGTTAGCTATGATTATAAATAATGACGTAGCCATGATTCAATTTAAATTGGATCATGTTTACCAATAATTTTATAACATTTTATTCATATATAAAATCAAGTAGTTTTGTCCTATCCTACAAAAAAAAATTAAGTAGTTATTCATTAAATTATCAATTAATCAATTTTATCATAATCTCTTTATCCCATAATCAGTTGTTTGCGTAACTTTTTGTTTTTCATCTCATACATTCAATTTCACCGTAAGATTTGTTTCCTTTAGATAACTATCTCTTTACTTTTTCATTCCACATCACGAAACGTAAAACATAAGTCTTTAGTACTAAGATGATACATGAACTTTATGGAGGGATGGTAATATCTATCAATTAAACAAACATATTATATAAGTCTTTCATGATATATGTTTGAGTGAAAATTCATAAATTATTAACTAAACTGTTGAAGATCTCATCAATTTGAATGTCAAAAAAGTTATGTTAGATCAGACATAACAGTTCAATTAGATGTGATGCTTTCATCAATTTGCATTTATGCCAATTAAAGATTGGGTAAGAGAAGTTAATCTTACATAATAGTTTAATCAAATGTGAGATTTATCTGTACCTTAATTTTATTATTAGACCATAGATTATGTAAGATTGCATAACAATGTGCTATAACAGTATTGAAATACATTGCGTAAAATTTATGAAGGCTGAAGGGATATTTATGTCTTATGTGTCAATCAAACAAATGTACGATGTAAGTTTTCCATAATAATTAAAACACAAAATTAATGGAAGCATGTACTCAAACTATTTTTTAAATAATTTTATGTCTTACCGCCGCGAAGCACGGGCCAAAAAAACAGTATCATATATAACCTCAATTTTTATACACTTTTAGGATGTTTACTGAAGATTATATTCGAGAAGACTTATCCTATATCATATAATTCTTGCACTCTATCAGAGTTGGTCTAAGTCTAACTAACAAACAAAATGTGAAAGCTATAAATTAAAATGTCTCACCTCCATTTCAGTTTACTAGTGTAACGTGCAATGCATATCACCATCTCAAGTGTCAAACTCCATCCAACCCCATAACTAATCCCAAATGGGGCTTTGGGTGACAGCATTCAATTCCCACTTTCCTCCCAACTGTAATCGTCTAATAACTATCACCATTATTGAATTGCCTATTTTGAGAACTCAGATTCCTTTCCTCCACCACATCCTCTCCCCCCTATCAATCTCTCTTTCTCTCTTGCATCAGTTGTTCGAATGTCAAATCACTAGCCATCATGTCTCATGTCACCATCTCTACTTTCTGTACTAGAATTACCTTACTAGACAAAAGATTAGTCCTCAATTTATCTTGATTACTTTCACGTGCAAAGTCTTTTTTCCCAAATTGTATATTCAAAATTGAGGTTGCGTTGGGTAAATATAGACATTTCGTCATAATATCATTAGTTATACTTACTAGACTAATGATTTATGGTGACATGGTAATTTTTTTTGTCTAGTTTTACCACGTCTAATTTGTTAATACATTGACATAGCCACAACTTTTATGTTAATGATTAGACAACCATTTTTTTCAACATTAAAAATCTCCACTATTGTAAATCATTTTCCCTCCCCAGTGACCAACGTCTCAAATACCGGCTCTTTGAGCACCTGAGAATTGAGAATGTCAACTTCCGCATATTTTTTCATTTTGAAAACATGACTATATTAGTCATTAGTATGAGGTCTTTAACATGTAATTTGTGCGGTTGTTGATCATGTTTATACTTTATAGCAAAAAATTAAGAGTGCTACTCTATCTCACTGAACTCCGTCCCCTGCTTCCAAGCCAAAACTCATCTGTGCAAGATCGCCCAATGTAATTTTGAGAGGTATAAAAGTAAGCAATAAATCACATACTTTCTTGTCCATTAACTCCAAATTAATCACAAGCAACTCAATGACTGCGTACAGGTGCCACTCTTTTATTGTCCGTTGAAGAATCAAATGCGGTATTGTATTCTATAAATATAGACGCCCAACCCTGAATACTATTAAGCTCTCCACGCCATTAAGTGAAAAACGAACGAACGTTACATGATGAGGAAGCATATTCTACTAGCTTCACTGTTCATCACTCTCCGTCTCCTCATCCCATCCCCTCCCTCTGCAACAGCTTCTCCTCTCCATAAACGTAATTCTCTGGTTTAATATTTGTACGAAATCCTATAGTACTAGTGATTATAGCTAGCTTGATGATATTATAACACGAAACTAATTAACTCTTGTATCTTTTGTTTGGTGATGGATCCATGGATCAAATCGGCAGGAAACACCGACACCCGGCTTGAAATATTCCCCCAAGTCCACAGCTGGGATCACTCACCGCTCGCCGAAATCCTCACCCGCGACCAGCAGCGCGTTGAGTCCCTCCGCCACCGAATCGTTATGGGCGGCAACAACAAAAGCCAAACCCCGCCGCTTCTTCCCACCAACACCGGATCATCGTCAATCCCACTCACTTCCGGTCTCTCCATCGGGTCAGGCAACTACTACGTGAAACTCGGGATCGGATCCCCGGCCAAATACCACGCGATGCTGATGGACACGGGGAGCTCTCTTTCGTGGATGCAGTGCAAGCCCTGCGTCATCTACTGCCACTCCCAGGCCGACCCTGTTTTCGATCCCTCTGCTTCTTCCACCTACTCCAAGCTATCCTGCGCCACGCCTGAGTGCTCTTCGCTCAAGGCCGCCACGTTGAATGATCCAGCCTGCGAGGCTGATTCCAATGCTTGTATCTACACTGCGAGCTACGGTGACGCCTCCTATTCCATCGGCTACCTTGGCAAAGACGTCCTCAACCTTTCCCCTGCAGCTGGCTCTGGCTCGCAGCAGAGGTTTACTTTCGGGTGTGGGCAGGATAACCAAGGCCTCTTTGGCAGGGCTGCTGGGATTCTTGGATTGGCGCGCGACAAGCTCTCCTTCTTATCCCAGGCATATATACACTTAGATTAGATTATACTAGCTAGTAACAATTCAGCTATATCTAGCTTTGAGAAATTCAATTTGATGCTTGCTTACTGACTGGACTGCTGCAGGTAGCTTCTAATGGCTTCTCGTATTGCCTCCCGACCGCAACTCCAGCGGCGTCATCCTCCGGTGGAGGCTACTTATCACTCGGCAGCTCCGCCTTGTCATCCCTACCCTACAAATTCACACCGATGCTCACCGATCCCAAAAACCCTTCCCTCTACTTCCTCGACCTCACCGCCATCACTGTCGCGGGGAAGCCGTTGCCGGTCAGCCCAGACTCCTACAGAGTCCCAACGATTCTGGACTCCGGGACTGTGATCACACGAATCCCCGCCGCCGCCTATACGGCGCTGCAGGCCGCCGTGGTGAAGGCGGTCTCGGGGAAGTTCGCTCAGGCTCCCGCGTATTCCATACTGGAGACTTGCTTCAAGGGGAAGCTGAGCGAGATGGCGGCGGCAGTTCCCCGGGTCGGGCTGGTGTTCCGGGGCGGGGCGGGCTTGGATCTGCTGCCCCGGAACCTGCTGGTGGAGGTTCCAGAGGACGGGATCACTTGCTTGGGCTTTGCCAAGAGTCCCACAATTGCCATCATTGCCAACCGTCAGCAGCAGACGGTCAACGTGGCCTACGATGTTGCCAACTCCAGGATTGGCTTCGCTCCCGGTGGCTGCCATTGATATACCGTATACGTGCTTAGCTAGCTCTACCTAGCTAGCTAGTAATTGCTCGCTTAGCTGTTGCTTGAGCGACTCGATCGTTACACCATTGTACTCATAATTACCAAGTCTACTTGTTTACCATGTTACTTTTACTTGTATGAAGAAAGCAAAAGAAGAACAATATCGGGAAAAAATCGATCTAATATATGCGATTCGATTGTACATATTTATAAATTAGGGTAAGCATTTAGTAAAAATTGTACATTGAATTGTACAATTTTGATGTGGAATCGTTTCAAAGCATATTCGCCCTTAGCACCTTCATATTATGTATCGTACTCGTTAATGAAAGGAAAATTTTGAGCTGTAAATTATCGGAATAATGACATCTATACAGACGGTCTTTAAAATAAACTAATTATCCTCTAATTTACAAAAATACCATTCTTTATACAATTATTATATCAAAGCGTTTTGGTCATCCTAAATTTGGGGTGCTACTGCTACCTTTGCGTTCCGATCCTACATGGTTATCAAATATACATATAAATATTGTTTGACTTAGGATACAAAACCCATTAGTTTGTAGTCCTACAACATTTACATGAATGATTGAGATTGAGAGGAAAGAGATCTAATAACCGTATTTGTAAGGGTAAAAAGAAAAAGTAGGAATAGGGGACAAGGCTTACTGGATTTGGAAAACAACTGACCGTATTTTGGGGGACTTGTGTGGATTCTCTAATGGTTGTTAAGACATGTTCAAGTCTCCTACGAAAATTCAACGAACCTTAACTTATTCTTTTTATATTTGATTTCAGAAACCTTTGCATAGAAAAACCATATTTTTCGTGTTCTGCAAGATAATATCCATTTTGATATTTTTTGGAGCAAAATTTTCCATGTCATAATGGTATGGTGTTGATATAATGGTGGTTCAATGTCGATATGATGTTGGTATGCGGTCTTAAATTTGACAAAATAATTTATTAACATCATATCATTTTGGGCTAATACCACTACAACACCCGAACTATTCCGAAAATGCCACTTGTGTCCTATCGTTTTCAATATTCCATTCATGTCATGAACTATTATACTTTGTGCCATTTGTATCCTGACAATTTCGTTGACCGTTAAAGATAACGGTTGACCAAACTGCGGTCAACTTAACATTGACTTTTGCTTATGTGGCAATGCCAAGTCATTGACACCTCACATTTTCAATTTAAATTAAATAAAAGCTAAAAATAAAGAGATTAAAAATTTAAAAAAATATGTAATCTTAATAATAATAAAAACCTCCTCTCGTAAAATTCTCCTCCACCTCTTCGTCTTCTCCAACCACCCCCGCCTCCTTGCCGATCTCGTCCCTTGAGCTCCTCCGCGCAGCGCCTCCAACTCTTCTTCCTCCATCCTCACCAAAGATATCCAGTTCATGTTCCTCTGCCTCTTCAACATGAATTTAGGGTTGAAAGATCCAAATCAGCAAATAGCCTGCTAAGATCGGGCAGTGGAGGTCCGATTCAAAAGTCGATCGATTGGGTTACTGCCATCGTCGCCGTCCCAAATCCCTTGGTCTCCTTGACACTATTGGTGTTGTTGTGCCGGGAAGCCAGTTTCTCCGATTTGGGTTTCGTTGCTTGCTTTTGAGGTCCGATTCGGAGTAGCAGCAGGTGCCGGGAAGCCAGTTTCTCCGATTTGGGTTTCGTTGCTTGCTTTCGATTCTGAACCCAAATCCCAAAAGTGGAGCAGCGAGGAACCCAAATCCCTCGCACTGGCGAGGAACCCCCCATATCGGCGACCTCGCTTCTTGCGTACCCAGATCTGTCGGCACCTCCGTCCAACAACGCCTTGATTTACTAGCGAATCACCAGATCTGTCGGCACCTCCCTCCTATAGTCTGGATTCATCGAGCTTTGCCGATGATTCGTTGTGGGCATCTGCATCTCACATCATGAACTCGCTCGTGGGTGATGAGGAGAGTCCACCCGTTGAAGAAATCGAAGACGATTGCTGGAGCATGGTGCTGCTGTCGTTGTTGAGCGGAGTAGCAGCAAGTGCCGGGAAGGGTGAGCGAGGAGAAAGGGACGAGGGGATGAATGGTGGAGATGGAAATTTTTTATTTTTTTCATTGTTTTTATTTTAATTATTTTATTAAATAAAAAATAAATTAAAATTCCACGTCATGTGCCACATTAACGTGACTAGACTTTCTGTTAAAAATTAACGGTCAAAGCAAGTCAACTTTAACAGAAAAATAGTTCAGGACACAGATGGAATATTGAAAACAATAGGACACAAGTGGCATTTTCGGAATAGTTCGGGTGTTGTAGTGGTATTAGCCCTATCATTTTCATATTACTATATTATCACTTGGTCTTATATTTGACAAAATATAATATAATAAATATCATTATGTAGATTTTAATAGATGATGGTGGTATGGCAATAATATGATGCTGGTATGAGGTCTAATTTTTGAAAAAAATAATTTGATGACATCATATCAGTGTCATATCATGATATTGTCATTATACTGATGTTGGTATGAGGTCTTATGTTTGACAAAATATGAGAAAATTGATATCAGTGTGTATATATTAAGTAATGCATTCTTTCTATACATTTTGTTTTAAATTTGAGTTAAAATTGAATGATATGGATCATCATACCACTTTCATATCATGATGATATGATAGATATGAGAGTAATAATACTACAATCGACACGTGTTTTGAAAATATATTTTTTTGCTCAAAACATATCAAAATGGATAAAATTGTGTATAAGACCTGATTAAGAAAAATAGGAGATTATGAAAAGTGTATTCTCTCTCTTGATCCGTGTCAGAGTGTCAGAAAAATAACAAAGGGTGGCAAAATTACCAGTCCACCCTTCCTACTTTTTCTGTTGCGAATTAATCTAAGTCATGAGCTGGTGAATGTGATGGAGAGTGGATGATAAGGTTTCGCACAATAGGATTTGTATCCTATCCTTTCCCTACAAATATATTATAGTTCGACTAGATATTAAGTTTGCAAGTTGGACTGTTGAAATTACTCGGATATTTAATTTCCAAGAAATATCTAGTCAGATCATTAAAGGCAAATAGATAAAAATAGATTCATGATCATAAATCGTTAGGAGATTGATGTGGAATCCGTAGAACTGTTTGTGATCGAATGGTGCCTCCAAAAGCATGACGTTGGAGGTTTTGTGGTCTTACTCAACCAAACCTTCTCAGTGCCTCTTAATGAGATTCGAACTTATTCCTCATGAGAGAATATGTGTATATTTAGGTCTTGGTGTATTGGGGACTACAATCTCTAAACTCTTTATATACTACGTTAGCTATGGTCCCTATGAAATCCTAATTAAGTTTAGTATCTGGTTTCCATCAACTGGATCCATATTGGATATTGAGTAGTTTTGGGCTTCATAATCTTTGAATACTTATAATTAGCACAGTTTATAACTAATATAACTATTTGAACTCAAAGACATTTCCTATGTATACACATAAAGTAAAAGGCGACTACTGATGTTAGCAAGTGAGTAAAAAAAAAAAAAAAACTCCAACCCATATATCGTATGTGGAAATCAATTTTCAAACAATCTCTCATTTGGACTGCATGTTTTCTACAAATATTTATATAAAAAGTACTTTAAGCGCACAACCAAATGTTATTTGTACAATGACCACTCCTTAACATTTTGTCTGCCTCAAGTATAATTGTAGAATCAATGCGGCTTTAATCACGATACGATAATGATTAAACCATCATGATCACTATATTTATACACTCAATTATATAGATCAAACATGAATGACATGAAAGTTTCATGTAATGTGATATTGAACTGTGAACATGCATATTTTCACATGTTCCAACTTAGTGAGATCAACAAAAAATACTTCATGCAACATGAATGTTGCATACATAAAAATAAATACCTTAAAGTTCAAAAGATAAACAAAAAAATCATTTTATTTTGCATAATTATAATTCAATGTCTATAGAACATACACAAACGATCCCTATCATCCAAAATGATGCCCATATGAGTGGTGTTCTCATACAGTGTTGTAGGGAATAAACTTTTGGTTAATAAATCAAGGGTTAATACCCTAGTTTGGCTCGAAGTTTAGGATAAGTGACAGTTCTAGCCCAATTTTTCAAATAAGACATTTATGGCCTACTTTTGAAATTATTGGACAAATTTGGCATGCAACTTGTGTTGACTGTTAATATTAACGGTCAAACATTTATTCCGTCAATGAGTCAGCATCTAATGCTGAGGTGGCATCCACATCACTTATCAATTTAAAATAAAAATAAAAACAAATTTATATAAATAAAATCCTAAAAACCCCTACCTTCCTTATCTTCTTCTTCTTCTTCCAAATTGAACTCTAACTCCCACTATCGAAGATCCCTCCACCGACATCTAAACTCGACATGCGCTTCGGGTGGCAAGGAATTTCAGTGGGCGGCGCCCGAATCGACCCTCTCCTCTTCTTCTTCTTCCTCCCCCCCCCCCTCTATCTTTCCCGTCCACAAGCACATCCACCTTGTCCCTCCGCCGCGGTCGTCGTCCCCTCAGATTCCACTCCATCGTCGTCATCAAGATTGGCGGATTTGGGTCCAATTCGGGTTGGGGAGAAGTGGAGGGAGCTGGAATGAGAGAATCAACTGGTGGCGGTTCGTCTTCTCCCTCGGACCGATCTGGACGAAACCCTAAATCCGCCCTCGTCACCGCACAAGAGAAGATGGCCCCTGCTCCTTCGTCGGCGCTGGGTTCTCTGTCCCCGCCTCCGGCGCTTTCATTGTCGCCTCTGTCGTCATGTCGCTCATGGGAATGTTGAAGATATAAAAGAGGGTTTCTTTAATTTATTTCTCCTTTTTCCCCTCTATGAATTTTGCAAGGCTTCCCTTGCTGCTTTTCATTTTGTTTCTGTCTCTTTCTTCGTTTTTAGTTAAGGCTATTTGGTTACAGATGGGGGTTTGGTACTTTGATTTTCTGGGCAGTTTGAAGGTGTAGACGATTTGTATCGAAACCAATTGCTTGAATTGTCGGCCGTGTGTTTAACTCCAATCGCTTGGACTTGGTCGCTCCGGAATAGCTGGGGGAGAAAGACGATGGATAGTAAATCAATAAGGGAGGGGAAGAGTGTGGCCGTCCTCAAGTCTCATTTTTTTTTTTGTTTTTTTTTTTCAATTTATAAATGACGTAGACAAATCTAGTCAGCAACAAATACTGAGTCAGAGATAGTTGACCGTCAATTATAACAGTCAAACCAACCCATATGCCAAATTTGTCCAATAATTTCAAAAGTGGGCCATAAAGGTCTTATTTGAAAAATGGGGCCAAAACTGTCACTTACGCTATACTTCGGGCCAAACTAGGGTATTAACCCATAAATCACTAGCATAGACTCAATCCAAATATGTTATATAGAAATATTTTTTTTTGAACCACTCCGTAACAACCAGGTACATCACGTCAATAAATTTTGACCATGTCAAACTTTTGTTACTATTAGAGTACCACATTGCTGTATTATTTTCACATAAATTTTCAATTGCCTCTCAATATTGTTTACCACACACAACCCCATGACAAATTTTAGCAGGCATAGTCATGATTAAATGCCTCGTAAAGGGCATGTTATCTTGACACCAAACCGCCACGATCCATGAGGTTTGCAAAACCGTCCCCTACTAGTGCGATTTTCATCGAAAAACGCGCTCTTGAGTGGCGGTTTTCGCCTAAACCGCTGGTACGAATAACGGTTTTTGAAAAATGGTGCTATTTTTGAAATTTTTTGAAGTTGAGTGCTATTTTTGAAAAAAAAAAAAATAAACAATGCTATTTCTAAAAAAATTGGGTTAATGACACATTTGGTCACTGTGATTACTAAATTGTGTCATATTTAGTCACTAAAAAAAGTTAATATCAAATTTGGTCACTCTAATTACTAAAACATGTCATATTTAGTCACTCTCCGTTAGTCTCCGTCCAATTCCGTTAATGGAGGCCGTTATGTGCTGACGTGGCTAACGGGAGTGCTTAGTCAACGTCGTTTTGACCCAAAAATGGTCAAACCCGACCCGCCACGTCACTAATACCGCCATGTCACAGAACCAAACCCGACCCAGAACCAAACCCTAGCCCGCCTAACAAAACAAAATTGAAAAATCCAATTTTCACACCAAAAACCTATCTCCTTCCTCTAGGTTCAACCATTTTCGATTGAACTCCAGGGAGAGATGAAGAGCTCCACGCTACCCCCTTGATCCCCTGGTCCCGGATCCTTCTTCGAAGTAGCATTGTTTTCTTCTTCGTCGTCGCGCGCTGTCGTTAGTTTCCCCCATCGCAGCAGACAACGAAACCCTCAAATCCACCTTCGCTAGCTTCCCCCATCGCGCGCCGGCAGCAGTGGACGAAACCCTAAATCGATTCCCCCATCGCAGCTCTTCGTTATCATAAGACCTCAAGTCGGACAGTTTAGGCATCAATGGCTGCTGCTGAAGCGGCGGCGACGACTCCTGCTTTACGGCTCTGGTGAAGATTCCACCATTACAGCACTCTTCTCCTCAATTTTAGGCTTGACATTGTTGCTGGCGGCGTCAGGATGGAGATTCTTGTGGATAGCGATGGAGATTCCACCATTACAACACTCTTCTCCTCAATTCCAGATCCTAGTCGCAAGAATTTCACCCAAATCAAAAGGAGAAATAAGAAGGGGCTTACTCTGAACTTAAAGCTTTCCTTGAAGAGACATAAATCGAGAGGAGATCAAGGAGAGGGAGGATTGGAGCTGTGGTTGGGCTTCGGGCTAGCTGCAGTGAGCTTCGCCGTGGTGGCCCTAGGAGTATTCTGGGTGGTTATGCAATGGAGGGCATGGGCATGGTTGTCTTCTGATGTTGCGGTTGTGGTACTAGTACCGAGATTGGAGGAAGAAGATGTACGACAATGCAAGACTGGGCTAGAGAAGGAGTGAGTCTTGAGGCGGGGAGTCGTCGGGTTGCTTCCGACCGATGTGGTTGCCAGAGGCCGGTGGTTGGAGTTGTGGTGGGACGGCAAGTAGGTATGTTAGTGGTGGTGACGGGCTTGGGTTTGGTTATGGGTCGGGTTGGGTTAATGGGTTGGGTTGGATGTATGACATGGCGGGTTTAGTGACGTGGCGGGTCGGGGTTGACCATTCCCGGGTCAAAATGATGCTGACTAGGTGCTCCCGTTAGCCATGTCAGCACATAACGGCCAACATTAACGGAGTTGGACAGAGACTAACGGAGAGTGACTAAATATGACCTGTTTTAGTAATTAAAGTGACCAAATTTGATATTAACTTTTTTTAGTGACTAAACATGGGATAATTTAGTAATCACAGTGACCAAATGTGGGATTAACCCTAAAAAAATTACTCATGTGTTGGGCGGGCCTAGTATGCAGCGAAACCTTTAGCTGGGCCCAAACAAACAACTCTCCTCATAAGAGCTGAGATAAGTGAAGTGAAGAAAGAAATGCAGTAAGAGTGTAAGACTGAGACCTAGACAATGACGATGACGTTGTTCAGTGGCAGAGCCAGTGGCTACTACTGCTGCTCTTCCTCGTTCACACCGTCCTTCATCCAACCTGTCAAGAATATTAATAATGCTGCAGCCAATCCCCTACCAAACTCTCCTCCACCTCCTCCTTCCCGCCTTCTTCTCCGTTCGTCCGCTGCCGCCGCCGCCACCTCCTTCGGCTGTTTTCCTCTTCGAGCTGCAGTCTCCGTAGTCAGCGATGAATACGCGTATCCTTCGCCCTCTCCATCCGCCCCTGGTTTCGATTCCGTCACCCGCCGCCTCATTCTCCTCCGCCATGCTCACAGTTCCTTCACACAGCCTACCTTGCGAGGTTCCTTTCTTCCTTCTTCTGTTGCTCGCATCGCATGCGTTTATCCCACAGTTATTCTGTTCAATTTTCTAATTTCTTAATTCGTCTTCTCATTCAGACCACGATCGTCCGCTTACCTCAACTGGACAATCTGACGCCGCCAAAGTCGCGCTTAAGCTTCAACAGCTTGGTTGGATGCCTCAGCTCATCTTACTAAGGTCGTCTTCCTTTTCCTCTAGGGTTTCTTACTTTCCTATTCCTTCGCAATTTCCATCGTCGCCGCTATTCATTACTATCTTCCTTCTTTACCAACTGATCACTTATCAGTGACGCCGCGAGAACTAGAGAAACGCTCAAGATAATGCAGGAGAGCGTCCCGACATTTTTGGATGCAGAGGTTCGTTTCATCCCCAGCTTCTACTCCATCGCAGCCATGGATGGGCAGACTGCTGGGCACCTCCAGCTCTCCGTCTGCAAGCATTCAACCGACGACTTACTCACCGTCATGTAAGTGAAATGTGATAGACGCATAACGCATTGAACAAGTGGGAAAAGAAATGCCCGTCCCCATTGATAGCCTTGCTTCCATTCCGTTGAGGTATTGTAAATTTTGTATGCAGGTGCATGGGACATAATAGGGGATGGGAGGAAGCGGCATCTATCTTTACTGGCACCACAGTTGAACTCAAGACCTGCAATGCTGCTTTGCTTGAAGCTACTGGAAAATCTTGGGAAGAGGTTACCTTACTTTCTCCCTTATGGTCCTTCGTCTTCTTCTTCTTTGTTGGGCGATCAAAACTACATGGGAATGATGTGCTTATGCCTATTAGGGTATTCAGTTTTGCGAAGGTTTCCTTGTATCCGAAACTGTAAACGAGGCTTGGGAAATTTGGTATTCTGAAAGAGGACAGGAAGCCAGAGACCTTGTAGAGCACTATCTGTTCATTAGAAAGTAGTAAACCAGACAGACATCGGTCTGGGGCCTGAAATGATATGCAGACTTGGGCATTGTTCTTGCTCTTTTTCCCTGAAAGCTCTCATAAGGGTTCTCATTGCCATAGGGTTGACACATATTCAGACTTACAAAGAACTAGGCTTTGCACTGAGAGGTTTTTTCTTCCTTTTATGGAAGCTCCCATCTGGAGTTCTAGTTCTTCCCACACCATCAAGTATCCATTAGCTTTGAGATTTCCCTTCTTCAATGTGGCACCAGCATGGAGTTCCTAGTTTGATCCTTATATACTAATCATGAGGTTCACTGGTACTGCATTCTCTAGTTCATAGGCGATAATGGATGATTTATCAGTGATAGACCTACTTCTATTTCACATTTAGCTTGGAATAACCAAATCACAGTATGGATTCCTGAGGCTTAGCAGTTCCTTCCATTCCCTAGTTGCAAGTTTTCTTTCCATAGAATATCTAATTTCATATCAGCATCAAGAGCAGGACATTTGGGGACCAGTTTAAGGAATTAGAATTGCATGGGGGAGGTAAGATTTCAACAGCTAGAAATAGGTTCCTTCTGGAGTGCTCTACCTTAGCTGCCTTGTTGAAGGGGCTATGGGATTAAATATGCTGCAATTAGTTTAATGGGCACTGAAAAAGGCAAGGTTACCCTTCCTAGGAAGGAAGCAAGTACTTACAGGCTCTCCTCTTTTCAAATGCAGTTGACTAGACTAGACCCTAAGAATTATACGTGCCCAGCTGTGAACAACTGGTTGCTTCTGGGTTAGTGGGGACTTGTTTCTTTAAGCTCTGAAGGCGACATGGTTGAGATTATTGAAGGAAAATATACTTGGGCAGGAAGAAAATATATTAGTTTTAGAGGCAACCAATTAAGCATGGGTGGTTGTGGGTGATGAAAGTGAATGGGGTTGATGATTCCATTTTATACATTATATATGTAGGTAACAGAGTTTGGTAATGTGTGCCTGTGCAGGCATTTGCATTGGCAGGGCTGGGTGGGTGGAAGCTTCAAGGAATAGTGAAACCAAGTGATGGGATAGTATAGTTATGTGCAGTTGGAGAAGGGGGAGGAGGAGGGTGGAATGCATTGCTTGCTTATCCTCAACCACCACCACTGGACGAGTTTGCTTCCCGGAAACGAAATGATTAAGATAGGACCAATGGCGTCGTTGTCTTCCATCCCACGGGCTGTTGCCTTCCAGGACTAATTATCTCGACCAGATCAGATCAGATGGAGAGGTCGAAAACTGTAGATGGGAAGGAAATATAAGAAGGCGGCGATGGCTTGCCTGGAGTCTTTTTGAGGGATGGAAGGAAGAGGGTTTGTTTTCTGCGCGTGTTGTAGCCTGTAGGTAGAGAGAAGTAATTTGTAGAGGACCATTTATAGCTTGCTTTTTACCTGCTTAGTAAATCATAACAGGCTTGGTCTGCAACGAGAAGTCCTTTGATTCACCCCTCCAATTTGTTTTGGAACCTGTTACTTTTATGGGTAAATGGCAAGTATGGTCACTGGAATTACTATGGGGTCGTTTGGATGTGGAAATTCTAAAACGTTGAAATTTGTCTGAATTTCCATGTTGTACAAAACCAAGGAATTGACTTGTGGAAATTAAAAAAAAAATCATGTTTGGATAGGGTTTAGTATTGTGGGAATTGATGGTGTGGAATTTGGAAAAAGAAGTAAGAAAACGTGGTAATGTCAAATTATTAGGGGGAGGTGTAGTATTCTCAATTACCATGAATGTGGTAATTGAAGCCAATTTCCATGGTCCAATTTCCATACCATTTTTGCTCTCCCAAACATGGGTTTTTAACCCAATTACTGCATTATATGGTAATTGGGTCCAATTACTGCATAACATTTCCACATCCAAACGACCCCTATATAATTTTATGTTTGCCACTAAAATTAGTTTATTTCATTCATGGTCATTAAGATTAGTTGAACAGTTTTGGTTACTCTCCGTTACTCTCCATTAATTTTTGCTGATGTGGTAGTCAATTTTTATAATTGACCGTTAAACTAGTGACGTGGCAAATAAAAAATAAAAAATTAATATTTTAAAATTTTCATGGCATGAATGGCAAACCCGACGGCGTCGTGTTCTCTTTAGTTCTGAGTACTCTTCCTTTTGAATCTCGCCCCTGCCCCGGCTTTCTTCGCAGGTACATCCTCTTCCTCCCTTCCTGCCGCCTTGGGTTGACTGCTTCGCTGGAGAACCAAATTCAAGCTCATGGCCGACAAATCAACCGTTCTTGGATTATCACATCTCTTAACAACCCTCCACTTGTAATTTTCTTCCTTCGTGCCAACTGCCGCCGGGGCCGAGTTAGACACCGATTCGTGGGGCCTTTTTCTGGTTATTTGTTCGATCTTCCTTAGCTGTCGAAGGGAAAAACTGCTGTTGTCGGCGGAAACCCTAGCTGGCGGTGAAGAGGGTGTTGGGTGGAGACTAGGGTTAGGGCTATTATTCGCACTAGAAACATGAATTTGTCGGCATGGATTCAGTTGAAATTGTTAGAAATCGAACAGGAAAATTTAGGGTTATCGATTTGGCTGAGTCGCGCACTAGGTCGCTCTCTTTAAGACGTTCGCGGCACTGCCTCATATTGCGCACAACAGGCTATCATTCGGTCGCTTCCAAGATAAAACAACCACTCTTGTTTGTTGCTCTTCGGTTTTGTGCGAAAACTGGAGCTCTTTGAATCTCACTCTTGTGTTTCTGCTCTTCAAAGGGGTGTGTTTAGACTTTAGAGGGTCTAGGGGTCTGCTATTTATAGGAGCAGAAAACCCCGAATATTCCCTCTTTCTTTGGGAATAAGTCGGAAAAAATCCAAAAGTACCACTGTTTAAAAAAAGAATTCCAAAAATACCACCTAACCCCAAAAAATTCAAAAAATACCACCCTTTTTCAAAAACCGCCACCCCACCCTGCGGTTTACACGAAAACCGTTTGTCGGGGGCGCGGTTTTCTATGCAAACCGCGGGCCTAGAGGGCGGTTATAAAAAAAAAAAATTGGACCAAACCGCTGGGTGGGGTGGCGGTTTGGCCCAAAACCGCCACCCCACCCAGCGGTTTGGTCCAAATTTTTTTTCCGATCAACTCCTAACTTCGGCCAAAACTTCAAACGAAAGTAACTTTGCACTCGGGTATCCGATCGTAGCGTTTTTTTTTTCATTTCGCATAACTTTTCAAGATCTACAACTTTTACTAGGATGAAATTTTCAAAAAAGGAATTATTTGTGGATATACGGGACCTTGAGAATAACTTTACCTTTACTTTTCACAAATCCATGTACATTTTGAAATTATGATTATGTTAAAAGTTGTAGATCTTGAAAAGTTATGCGGAATCAAAAAAAATTCATGACATTCGGATTTTGGAGCACAAAGTTATGGCCGGCCAAAGTTTGACGAATGACGATTTTTGAAAAAGGTGGTATTTTTGGAATTTTTTGGGGTTGGGTGGTATTTTTGGAATTCTTTTTTTAAACAGTGGTATTTCTGGAAAAAGTCCGAATAAGTCATATTTTAATTAGGAAGATAATTACTCCCATAATTAAAATGTATTATATTAAGATAATTAATTCTAATTATCTCCATAATATTCCTTTTTATTAATTATCCATCTTATTTTCGTATTATGGGAAAATACTGGATAATTATTTAGGAATTTCATTTATAGCTTTTCAAAGCTATTCATCCCAACAATCCCCCACCTGAATAGTTTTGAAACTATCTCTGAGCCTCAACAGATCCATAAGATCGGGCATAAGTTAAGGTAGCGTAGTGGTTACACTTCCGATTTCATAAGGGTGACTCGTAGTCTTGAACCCTATCTTAGACAGTGTAGCACACCAGATCTTTTCATTGAGTGATATTCTCTCATAGCCGTGCGTTTATGGCCATGCACGTTATCCCGGCTTAGTGAACGCTCTATCAACTTTGTGCCTCCAAAGTTCCATAAGGAGAGGCCCCAGTCCCACATTCACATAGGTGAGTCTATCAAAAGTACCCCCAAAGTAAAGTACTTCACTCCACATAGAGTATAGATCTCATTAAGAGTTTAACTCAACCTCCAATGCTTTGGGATTCATGCTTCACTATGCATGAACTTTTCTCAATATTACTCATGACTTGTTATTACCCATTGAACCCGTTTCTTGGGATCTCCAGACTATCTGGCCGGGTTACCATCACTTGTAATCCATGGTTTGGTAGGCATAAGTCTCATACCCTTCGTGGTATTTTGGACTTTCTCTCTAGCTAGTCTTTTCGTCAAAGGACCAGCTAGATTCTTTTATAATCTCAAGTTCATCCTTTCATCAAAGGATAAACTAGATTCTCTTTTAAGTGATCCACCCTTACTGCTCCAACAGTTAGGGACTCTCTCTTCTAGTACTGTTCTCATGACGAACTTGTCGCCTCTCACCATTTGTTACAGTTCTATTTAGCAATTGCTATCGCAATGGATCAATATTGGTGGATACGGTCTTTCCCATAAGGGAATCTCTAGTAATGACCCTCTCAATCAACTTTCTTCTTTACTAGCCTTTGCTAGATCTATAATTTTTGATTAAATAGTTGATCGTTTACTTCTTTTTCTTAGACTTCCAAGATAGAACTTCTCTATCGATGTTTAAAACATAGCTTCTGGTTATCTTGGAGTCCTCTATAGGATATTCTCGTTTGCATCAATATACCCTACCAATACAACAAGAAACCGTTGATAACATATATCAAGGTCTACTGTTCTCTTAAGGCATCTCATGACCCCTTTCAATAGCATTTCAATGCTTCATACTAGGACAATCAGTAAACCTGCCAAGTACCCCACTATGTCGGGTCTCATGTTTATCAGCTGCCTCTCGTAGACTATCGATGCTAGTATGTTCTTACTTTCTTACATCATCTTTGGGGCTCTTTTTAAAAATTGTACTATCATCTTCAAACATTTAGGCAAGTGTACAACTTGTATTTCTTATAGATCTTAACCAAACAGTTAGATTGATCTACAAAAAATTTCTTTCACTGTCCTAGTTATTTGGATCTCTAAGTGAAACACTTGGATCCTTCTCATCAAGGTTCTCACATTTATTCATGTCATGAGTCTTTGCAACAAAGATCAACATGTCTTTTATAGTGCAAGTGTCGTTCTCAAGTTAGTAACAAATGCACTTGCCACTTTCATTCAAAACCCATGAGAGAGAACCGTCCATCCATGCCATGATCTTTAAAGTCTGTTTCAAATCATACCATGATTTGTCTCACCGTAGACTTTAAAAGCATGTTTAGGAATAACAACCTTTTAGGTTGTCCCAATGTAGATTTCTTTATCTAAATCACCATTCAAAAAATGCAATTTTAACGTTCATCTAATGCACCACTAGCAATAAGACCATACATGGATGTTATTCTAGATTTGGTGAACAAATATCAAGAAAATCTACAATTTTTCCCTTTTCGCCTAAAGTCCTAACTACTAGGCGATCCTTATTCTCATAAACTAAACCATTACGTTTCAGTTTTCTTTTGAGAATCCATTTATTACCTAGGCTTCATTGCCAGGAGGTAATTCTCAAAGATGCCAAATCTTGTTCGATTATATCGATATATGACCTAAGGCTTTACAACCAAAAGGTAACTCTACAAGTTTCTAACTCTTATTAGACTCTCATGATTCCATTTTATTAATAATGACTTCTTCCCACAAATCTGCACCTTACAGAAGTTTGAACTTCTAGCAGACTTGTAGGATATTTCTTAGGGTGTAAATAACAAACTCATAACCAAAATCCTTTATCGATTTATGGTTGTTTGCTTCTTCTGAGTTCATACTCAGATTCACCACCCCCACTAGTTCCATTATTTCTAATAGTAGGTGAGATACAACCCCACTATCTCTTTATTTTAAATGGAAGTCTATTGGCATCCTTGGATTCCACAACATAATGAGTATTTCACTTCATAAGCTTGTGTGTTTTAAGATATCATATCCAATTAAAACATACTCATATGCTTTTCTAGTAATCATATTGCTCTAATTCTATAATTCTACCACAAGCATTTCAAGAGCATCCCATCAAATCATTAATCAGAGCAATCAATAAAGCATTTCTTTTTCATCAAAGTTAACATCTTAACACGTTTACCCATATCAAAATAAAATCTAATTTTTTTATTCTCTAATCACGTATTCATGGGTCATTTAACTTGGCCCTAGAACTGTCTTTATTACGATATGCCACTCACCAAAAGATTTCTTCATTTTGGAGCATGCAAGACGACTTTCCAGATGTAAGATTCATTACCACTTTGCCAGAACCATCAACAATAATGGCGAGGGAAGTGCCTAACACCACTTTCTTCTTTAATACCCCTCAATGTCTGGTTTGAGCATAGCTCGTTTATAACACATACTTTGAGGTGTCGATATCTAGTCACCATTCTTCAGGGGCTACCAACAAGGTTAACCTCGGCTTATCTGAGTGATCACAACCAACCATCCTCTTCTTCCATCAAGCTAACACTTGAACCAATGTTAGACTTGTTCATACACTTTCGTGTCATATGACCTAGTTTTGCACAACATAGTGTCATTCTTAGAGGATTGACTAGTGATCTTTTGGCTACCACGAAGGGTATCATTCTATTTGGTGTGGATCTGGTTCGGCTTCCTACTCTTATTTTTGAAACTTTAATGTTTCATAGCAACATTAGTGGTTCATGTAGTACTGACAAGAGTACTTCTTTGAATATCGTCACTATGGACAATTAACCCATTCTACTAGCATATTTACCACATAATGTGTTTATGTGTATGCTTCAAAGTATGCATTCATGTAATTAAAATTACTCTTTAAAATATGTATACGAAGTTGTATTTAATCATTGAGGAAAACACATCTCAACGTCACCATTATTATGCATCAATTCTAGTTTTCATGTCTAGCATTCACAAGGGTTCTCAATTCCATGCATAAAATCCACATGACATAGATTCTAATTTGTCATTTATTAATGACTAAAAAAAGACTTTAGCTCTTACCTCTTTTCCAGAAGTAGTAGTCTTGTGATTTTGTAGCAAATAACTAGCAGCAAGCGTAACTTCCTTAATTATTGAACAATTTCTAAGCAGAGGGCAACTTTAACGGTAGTCCATTTGGAGTTCTTCTCGTCTTCCTCTAGCTTTATGGATGTCAATTATGACATCCATTTCTGCCGGCGCAAGCATATTACATTCCATTGCTTTCCTTCATTGACTTGGCCCGGGATGGAATTGCCTTGGCCCACTCGTTTCCACAAACCATGTTTCTCCAGTCGGCTTCCATTGTAGTGGGCCTGAGTCGGAAACCAAAACTTTCACGGGCTCGCCTTTACTTTCATGAATGATGGTGTTTCTTTGCTAAGGAAGATTTTGCCTTGGGTTCTGTTTGAGCCTCAACGCCTCGCCAACACGCCCACGTCTTCTCTGCCTGGCGCCTGCCTACACACACGAGCACAGGGGGGCGCGGGGGGGGGGGGGGGGGGGGGGGAGGGGGCGCGTGGGCCCGTTAGCCCTCCGACGATCAAGTCAATCTCTTTCTAGAGAGAGAAGTGCGTAGATAAAGAGTTTTAGTGAGAGAGTCCAACCTGTGTAAATGCTACCAACTTCTCCTATTTATACTCACCGAGCTCGAGGTGAATCTCCTCCACGCCACCGTCACATTAAATGCTTCGTACCTGCACTCTTGCCAGAAGCCTCAACCGCATTGTCAGGCTTCTGACGACTGACAGGCACCTACAGGCGGGGGACAACTTGCCAGCCTGGACTTCTTGGGCCCTTAGTGCTTTGTCTCCATGCCTAGGCTGCCTGGTATGAAGTGGGCTTTGCAGCCCATTTGCGGGCTTCTTCTCCTGGACAACTGCCTAGGGCTACTTTCAACCGAACGAGCTCTTTCTTGGGCCTTCCTTTGGGCCCCTTTAGTGGTACCCCAACAATTGCCCCCCAGTTAGGCGCTCATGGCCCCTCACTTGAGTGCCTAACTAACCCCTTGGTCAGCATGCGTCACTACCTCTCAGTGGGCGCCAGTTACCCCTCTAAGTATAGCTCTCCGTCCCGCGCCCGGGCGCCCGTTCGTGTGACTGAATCTCCTTAGGTTCATGCCCCCCTTTCGAAAGGCGCCCTACATTCTGACTGCTATCGGGCGCCTTCCTTGTGGTTATAACCTGGGTCGCGCTATGGTATGGACGCCTGATCGGGGCGCCAGAGTGCCCCCCTCGCGGGCGGGAATTTGAGCCTTTACTTTAAAATATTCTTTTAAATTCCAATTTCGAAATTTAAAAATCCAAATTTGAAATTCAAAGAATGAGGGAAGCTCAAAGGTCCGCCCGTGATTTGGTGACACGTGGCAGGTGGCGCGATCTTCGATACACGCCCTTCCTCCCTTTAAATACCCCCAACCTCCCTTCTCTTTGTCACTTTCCTCAATTCACTCTCTCTCTACATCTTCGCTCTGCCTTCTCTCTAGATTTGCTCTGCCCTCTCTCTACTTCGAAGCTCTCCGCCGTCGACCTTTTCTTCCTCACTTCGCAATCAAATGGCTTCTCTTCAAGACCGAACTTTCGATGTGGGCGCCTCTTATGCTGGCGCCTCACCCAATCGTTCATCTGGAAATGAAGCGGGCGCCACTCCCCCTCACCCTTCACACTCTGGTGCAGGCGCCTCCAACCGTCCCTCTGTTTCTGGTAAGCGCCCTGTCGTGGACTTCTAACTGTTCTTGTAGGTTTTAGGCGTGAGCGAGATTCTTACTTCGACTCGGAATTGTACGTCTGGTTCATTCTTGGTTTAGAAAGGGCGCCTGGATCTGCGGGAGGAGAGAGCGCCTCCACTTTGGGTTACATGCCTGTCGATGGCTCCTATAAGATCACCACTTGAGAGAAGGCGTTCCCCCCTGATCATTTGCCAACCGATACCACCGGCCAATCGTTCGAGGAGGCTGGCCCGGAGCATCAATCGACGGTGACCCTGGCGCGAGTTCATGAATCGGTGACCAGTCTTCAGCTCCCGCGTGACTGGTGGTACGCGCCTCCGTCACCCATCTCTAGGGTTGGCGTGTGCGGACCCAAATGGATGGGCGTCTACCAGGAATACTTTAGGTTTGGGTTGCGATTTCCCATAGACCCCATCCCGGAAGGGATTCTGACGATGTGCGAGTGCCCGTTGAGGCGCCTATCCCTCTCGATGATGGTGGTGGTGACGTTGTTTAAACTGAAGTGCCAGGTGTACAATGTGAGGCCCACCTTCAACCTTTTCAGGTGGTTTTTCACCGTGGCGCCACTTGACAACTGCCTCTCCCTACAGAAGCGCTCCAAACTCCCATATCACTTCGTTGTTAGGTGCCCCTATCTGGCGCGCCAATTGTTTGGGCCTCGACGCCTCGCCAACACGTCCACATATTCTCTGCCTGGCGCCTGCCTACACACACGAGCACAGAGGGGGCGCCTAGGCCCGTTAGCCCTCCGACTATCAAGTCTGTCTCTTCCTAGAGAGAGAAGCGCGTAGAGAAAGAGTTTTAGTGAGAGAGTCCAACCTGTGTAAATGCTACCAACTGCCCCTATTTATACTCACCGAGCTCGAGGTGGATCTCCTCCACGTCACCGTCACATTAAATGCTTCGTACCTGCACTCTTGTCAGAAGCCTCAACCGCCTTGTCAGGCTTCTGGCGATTGACAGGCACTTACAGGCGGGGGACCACTTGCCAGCCTGGACTTCTTGGGCCCTTAGTGCTTTGTCTCCATGCTAGGCTGCCTGGTATGAAGTGGGCTTTGCAAGCCCATTTGCGGGCTTCTTCTCCTGGACAACTGCCTAGGGCTACTTTCAACCGAACGGGCTCTTTCTTGGGCCCTCCTTTGGGCCCCTTTAGTGGTACCCCCAACAGGTTCTTTGATGTGACAGAAACAATACATGGATTGTTTCTGTGATGTGACAGAAACTATCACTCATTTTGAGTGATTGTTATATCTCAACTTTTACTTGTGATTGTTGAGATAGTTGAGTTGAGATTGTTTTGTCTCAGCTTTTAGCTGATGCGACATACACAATCACACACACCAAACGTTGTATTCTACAATGTATCAAATTCGACAATACATGTATAATATTATACATGCATTCTCAACAATACATCTATTTAACAATCGCAACTTCCAAACGACCTATAAGATGCCACCCAATACCGTCAGCAGCGCCTAAACCAGCCACAGAAATATGCCTCGATGGAGAGGGCGACGACTCCACCGGAACAAGCAGCGATGTCCTCATCCGCGGGGCATTATTCTCGGTGGGTTTTGGATGAGCATAAGATTTTTTTTTTATTTCTTAAATGTATTCATGAGATGGAAAATTCAAAACATTTAATTTTTATTTATTTATTTATTTGCCACGTCACTAGTTTAACGGATGAATCTATTATCAGGGAGTTACGGATTAAAGCAGCAGCAATTTGTTGCTCCTAAATACACGAATCAAATAATGAAATTTGAACTGTTATAGATCCAAATTCATCATTAAATCCATCAAACAAACAATCCATAAATTTGCCTTTTTTTAGAAAACTAAATTTTCCTTCATTTTAACCCAAAGAAATCATGTAGGTTATAAAACGAAAGAACTAACATTAGCATGAAAAAATAATAATGAATTTTTTTAAAGTGCAAAAAGAGAATTTAGGCCGAAGTGAGTCGTTTGGATGAGGTAATTCGATGAGTTATTTCGATCGAAATAACTCATTCGGAGTTATATTTTCCGAAACAACTCATGTGACAACAATATAATGTAATGGGTATTTTGTCTATCAGATAATTGAAATAACTCATTGTGAGTTATTTGCAATACCTACCACTCGCTAATAACTCATTTCTCAACTTTTATCCCACTTCATTCCTTATTTAAGTGGTGAAATACCACAATATTTGAATGTTTATCTAAACAAGAGAATTAGACTAATTACCACATTCAAAACTGAAATACCACATAGCAAAATAATGCAACATTTTGATTCGAAATATCACAGAACCAAAATAATGCATCCAAACGACCCTAAGAGGTCGTTTGCTTGTGGGTTTGTAAAAATGAAGGATTTTGGGATTGAAAGATTATGTTGAATTTTAAAAATTGCATGTTAATTATTGGATTTCAAAATGGATTTTACTATCTTGGATTTATGAGTAAAATGATGAGCTTACCTTCTTATTATTATTAATAATTTTTATTTTATTTGTTAAGAATTCTATGATCATTTCATCATTAGTGGAGTCAAGTAATTTTGAGCTAAAAAACTCCACATTTGCATACCTTAGGAATTTAGGCCAATCTCAACAAACATGTATTTGATTATTAATCCAATTATCCAACCTATCTCTCATCAAAATCCAACATTTGAGTTCTGCCGTAGCTGTGCAGCCTGTGCTGTGCTGTCTGTTTCCTGCCTTTCTCTTCTGTTGGCTTCTCCCTCTCCCTTCTCTCTCTTCAAACCACATCTCCACATTCCGCCATTTCACTCCGTAAGTTCTCTCTTCCTGGCTCGCGCGCTCTTACTGCAAAGGCCTCACCCTTTCTTTTTTCTTGCCATTTTGTTTTGCATTTCCTGTTCTTCACCTCCTCTCCTTCGTCCGCTTCAATTCATCCAGACATTGCCTGCAACCCTTTTTCCCATGTTTTTTTTCTTTCAATTTCCTCTTCTAGCTGGGTAATGGGAGGGAGGGCCTCTTCCTACCAATTTCATGTGTTTGATAGGCTAGGTCCCCTGAAAGGAAGCTGATTTATTACTCAAGCATCATTTGGAGACTGCAAGGCTGCTGCTAACAAAGCTAGATTTGCGAATCCCGATTCCCCCAATCCCTCACCAGTTCTTCGTTTCCCTCGTTTTCTTTTATTTTCTACTCTCACTTTCCCTTTTATCTCCTTAATTTAAAGTTCCTGCCTTAGGTTTCAACTGTTCCCGCGATAATTTTCCTTGTTATTCGCTGCTTGACCGCTTCTCTCTCTCCCTACCAGCTTCCGCGGGAGCTTCAGTTTGTGCTTTCTTCTTCCTTCAAGTTTCGAGATCTGTGAATTATGCTTCCTAATTTGTCTTCTATGCCCTTCACTCACAATCTTTCCCCCCTTTACTCATACAGGTAACAAACCAAGCAAGCAGACTAACGGGAAAAGAAAGCCCCACTTCTGGAAGTTCAACTACTGCTAATTTACATTGGTTTTATGCGATGCCATTCTACCTCGCTGCCAAGGCTTTCATTTGAAGCATAGGGAATGATTGCCATTATACTTCGCTGCCAAGGCTTTCATTTGAAGCACAGGGAATGATTTGAAAAGCAATCCTATCGTCTTGCGCTTTGCCCCCATGCTTTCTCGTCATAGTGAGATGCTTTGAATTCTGCCAAGTTAGTTCCACAAAGCTTGGGGGAGAACAATTTTTTTTTTAAATGATTGAACAGTTCATCAATTTTGTCATACGCCCTCCCAGGTATGTTCTCTCACCTTCCCCTCTCATCATTATTTTTAGTCGTGGCTGGCTGTCTATACTGAGGGTTCCTTCTCTGTGTTGTTGGAATTTTTGGTTGCCAAAGGGCGGATTATAACCCAGATCAATATTTATGGGAAAAAGATTTTACTCTTGCTGGCAAAGCCTACAAACGGCAAGACTTGGAGGCAAGTATGGACATCGATTTCCACACTCACTACTACTTCACCATCAATTCACTTCTCTTCTTATCATGGCATTCTTTCTTGGCATTCTCGCTTACACATTGCCAACGTCTGCAGCTTACCAATGCAAGGGGTCATACTTTACGGTGTAGCCATTATGTGCCATCACCTTTTCCTGATGATACTCCCCTTCCTTGTGTTATTTACTGCCATGGAAACAGGTTAGACATTTCTCCTTGGCTCCGCAAACATTTTCTATTTGTGTTGAGCTTAACTGAGAAGCGAGATGCTTTTAGAGAACATTTGAGCATGATGATGCCTGGTTTATCATCATGAATGATTATGCAGTGGATGTAGGGCAGACGCAAATGAGGCTGCTGTCATTCTTCTCCCTTCAAATATTACTGTTTTCACTTTGGACTTCTCCGGCTCCGGCTTGTCTGATGGCGACTATGTTAGCCTTGGTTGGCACGAGGTCAGTCTTTTTAGTATAGCCAGCTCTGGAAAAGGGTTGTTAACTTCCATCGTCTTGCTAACAGATTTTTGTTCTCTTTTCTGTCAGAAAGATGATCTGAAAGTTGTAGTTTCTCATCTAAGAAGCAATAAGAAAATATCATGCATTGGTCTTTGGGGTCGATCGATGGGTGCAGTTACAAGGTGTGTTTTGTGTCTAGATTCCTTCTGTATTGTTTTTCTTTTCTCAAGTTTTCTTTTTGTTATGCATGTACTGGTTTAGTCAGATATAGTACATGTATGCTTCATGTAGTGTTGTTTATATCTGTCAGACTTGCTTTCTACTTGCAGCATGCTTTACGTGTTCAGACTATTGGATTTCTCTGGAACTCATGGAACTAATTTCTGCTATCTGGTGCAGCATGCTTTATGGAGCAGAAGACCCATCAATAGCTGGAATGGTGCTGGACAGTGCCTTTTCGAATTTATTTGATCTAATGATGGAACTCGTGGATGTCTATAAAATTCGGCTTCCAAAGTTCACCGTAATTCTCTTCCTGTGATGCTCCTGCTGCTGGTTTCTCTTTTTCTGTGCTCTTGTAGTGATTGTCCAATGATGTTGTTGGATCCGTCATACACTTACAATGATCTATTTGGTCTAAGATAAATTGTGTTCGCCTGTATTTATGTTTTATGACCAACTGTATTGTTATTCACATTTCCAAAGATCGATTGCAGTTTATTAGTTCGGGAAATGTATTAATAGTAGCTACCATATCTATATTAGCATGCATATCTATCCTTGAACTGCAAGTTTCTATACTTAGCTAGCTATTCTTCATTTCACTAATTTCCCTTGAGAAAAGCTGTCTTATATTTTTGCTTTGGTTGGCTTTGCATCAGGTTAAGATGGCAGTGCAATACATGCGGAGGGTGATTCAGAAGAAAGCAAAATTTGACATTATGGATCTCAATACTCTAAAGGTTTGGTGTATTTGTTCTAAAAACTTATACTAACACACCCACACATTTTTTTATTGGGCATTGATTATAGAGAGATGACCTATGGAAACTATCTAAGAATATGGTAAAAGTATGATAGTGTCCATTGCTTGATCAACTTAAGCAAGGATTCACTCGCAATAGTTTCCTGGTGTATCTGTATTGGTGATTCAGAGCTGAATTTGACCACCTGTTCTTAAGTTCATTTAGATGGTAATATTTTTTCATCTTTGCTCTCAGGTTGCTCCTAAAACATTCATTCCTGCTTTATTTGGTCATGCCAGTGATGACAAATTCATACAGTCCCATCATTCTGACATAATCTTCAAGTCGTTTGCTGTAATGATCTCATTATTCCAAACAGTTCTTAATTTCTCTACTTATCAACTTATTTGGAAGGGCTGACCAATTTGTGGTTTTGAACAGGGTGACAAAAATATGATAAAGTTCAATGGTGATCACAATTCCTCACGGCCACAGTTCTATTATGATTCGGTTTCCATATTCTTCTTCAATATCCTTCATCCTCCTCAAATTACTACTTCCTCAAGGAAGCTTGAGAAATATTATAATCTCTCAGACTTGAAGCTTGGTGCTGGCCTGGATGAGGTAGTATTCTTGTAAAGCTCTTGGGGAATTTACTCCCAATATTGTGAATTTAATAGTTGATTACAAAACATGGAACCTTACAGATATTTCCTTCTTTGTTTCTTAGAGTCTTCTGTATGAGATAATCACAGGCATTCGTTCTGCCTGTACTGATGCTGCAAGTTCATCTTCTGCTCCTGCCAACATCCCACCATCAAAACCTGTTTCTGAACTTCTTTCTGAAGTCGCTCCTGCCACTAATTCAACAGTACGCACATTCCTCCACATATGGCAGAAATCCCCCCTTCAGAGTCTACCTTCTGTATACATCTGAAGTTGCAATTTGTGTTTTTGTTAATAATGCAGACACCGGTAGTCGACAAAACAAATGATAAGGCCAGCTGCATAGACCCATTGTATTTGCAGGTGTTTACCTAAATTGTAGTTTAGTTTGAATGACACTCTACATAAGTTTTTGTGATAGCTGGTGTTGATGTATGTATGTATGATGTTTACAGGATAAGGCAACTGATCAGAGCGAAGAATGCTGCTCCTATACTAGTTCAAATCGGGAGAGTTGGGGTAGATGCTCATCTCTTGGTGGTAGTGATGACGAAGAATCTTCAGCCAAACATAGAACTATAGATAGCAGTCATGAGGTGCTCCCCTTCTTTCTTGTTCCCATGCTCTGCCCCAAGTAGTTTTTGCTATGCCTATAGATTCTACCCATAAATCACAATTGGAGGAGGAACTTGTTGAAGGGATGAATGTTATTTTTAAGTTAACACATTAATTTTTCCTCTTGCTGATATATTTTACATTTCATGTAGAGTACTCTGAGTCTGAGGGCCTTTGCCACGCCTCTACGGAAGATACGAAGGAAGCCAGCAGCAGCTGGTGCTGCTGCAGCTGCAGTTCCTCAGAAAGAGCAGAAGAAAAAGAAGAAATCTCCAAAGAAGAAGCAGAAGGGCGAGAAGCTTGAAAAGCTTGAAGCTTTGAGCAAACGGCTACGCCATTGTATACTAAGAAGAGTAAATCATCAGAGACATTGTTCTTCCTGAGTCGATCAACTGCTTTTATCAATTTATGTTACCTTGTCCATATCCATTACTTGTGTTTATGATCCCTCAATCTCTTTCAAATTCAACACCATCCTTTTGCTAGTCTGAGGGTAACTGTAAGCATTGATTGATTGATGCAAATATTATTGATTCTGTCTGTACTGGTACAACAAATGCAATACTGCCATTCATTCTCATGTTGGACCATCATCAGTTGAATTTTGTAGTCATTCTGTTTTCCCTTTTGACGTTAATGAAGGCATTTCCTCGATCAGAGTATCAAGGCATTATTGATTAACAGTTTAGTCCACAATAAACTAGCGAGCTTCATAAATACTTCTCACTGAATTAAACAAGACATGCATCTACTGCATTTTAGAAGAAAAGAGAAAAAGATTAAGAAAAAACCAATATAATAAACAGCCTGCTGCTTTTTCCTTAAAACCTACCGGTTTGTCTGTCTTGTCTAACATTAATCTTCCATTATCTAGCCTGATTAACCATGTTTTTTCTTCCCCAAATTACATAAAAGATACATGATGATGATAGTAAAATGACCCCAATTCAAATAATTCTGAAACCACCATCCAAGGGCTAGAGATCCCCTCCTGAAATCTTCTGCATTTGACTGTCCATCCCAATCGATAGCCCATTTGAAGGATCAAATGCCTCTCGACTGGTAGCAAACACAGGGTGAGCCTGGGACTGAGCTAGAGAGTTCAAGCTAGACTCCAGTATCTGGTGAGGGAAAGGCATATCCGGTTCATTACCAAACTGTCCTGGCCCCATGCCTAGACGCTGCTTCTTCAACGACCTTTCAGCTGTAGGACTATCATCATCCGGAGAGCCCATGTCATCACGGGAATCAGGGGTCATTGGCTCCTGGTGGTGATGCTGTTGTCGGAGTGGTTCATTGATCGCAAAGATCTTGCCATTTGTAGCCTTGTCCTGGAGGGGGGTCTCACTTGGGACAGGGGTTGTAGGAACGGTCTTGTCGGATTCTAAGTCAGCTGGTGGGAGAATCCCCCCAGAGCCAGGTGGTTGTCCCTCTGCAAGTACTCCACTCAGCTTTTGCTGCTCTTCTATTATCTTTTTCAAGTACTTTCCTTGTGCCTCGATACGTAACTGCAGTTGCCGCTGCACCTGTGATGTTGAAAACACGCATGTAGCACGTTGTGGGTAAGAGTTGAAGCTTTTCAAACAAAGTTTGGAAGTTAGTTGAGATGCAGAGAGCTTATTTGAATCAAGATAAGACAGCAGACAAAATGACCTATAAATCCCAGGGTTCCCCCTTTGTTTGGCACACCTTATGGAGAGATTCATAACAACAAAACGCAATTGGCTCTATAATGGATGTATTTCCACACAAAAACTGACCAATTTTCTGACCGCTAATGTCCTACATAGCATATTTCATAATCTACTAGAGCATAATGAAATGAACTAATCACAATACATAAGCAAGGAACAAGATTTTTACTCATGTAGAGTGAAATAAGTGCCCAATAAATAAATATTGACCACATCAGAAAATAAACCATAATGATCATATATAGTGTTCGGGCGCGGAGGAAGAAACTTTTTTAGATAATGGCGTTAGACAATAAAAATAAGAAATTGTTACAAAGTACAAGAGGGACGCAAGAGCAGTGACCTAGATATGAGTCCCGGGAGGAAGAAACTTGCCTCGAGTTGTTCATGCAGTCGCTTTTGGACCTCCATCTGCAGCTTGAGAGCTTCTGTGATTTGCATTCCACTGAAAAAGAAACAAAAAACATAGTCAGTCTCACACCATATCTCCAGCTAAACAAAGAAATTAATAGGTATACCAGAACATACAAAAGGGAGCATCAACACAGAAACTGACATAAAAGGAGAGCGAAGGTGGTCAACTTCACTTACGATGAGCCATCTAAATTGGAAAGCATCTCGCCGGCTTCTTTCTTGTCACCTTTTTTCCCTAGCACAAAACACAAGTCTGCATGAGAACCAGCAACCTGAGCTCGTTTTACAAACAACCATTAAGAGCCTATATGCACAAGGTACTTACCATCAGAAGAGGAGTCTGGAAGGAACTTGGCAAGACGATATTTCTGGATGGAGAAAAGGGATTCAAGACCAAAATGAAAATCAGGAAAATAATGACCACAAACCTCTCCCTTCTCTCTCCTACCTCGGGAAACAGGAAATAAGAGAAAGGATATAAGAATAAAAGTCTGACCAAGATTCATATACCTGTAAATGACTTTTGACATGATATATAGTTAATCCCTGTACACCCATGACCCTGAGAACACCTTTTGGAGTAGCCCCTGGAGAAATCGCCTAACGTAAGTAATTATTGCAGTAAGGCAAGGTACAAGCAGACAAAACCTTCTAAACTCTCACACCTCCAAGCAACATAGGTATTGTATGAGGTCGTACAGAGTATGCTTCTAAGATCATACAATATACGAAGAGAAAGTTCTAAAATAAAACCAAAAGATAAGACCTGTAGAGATAAATGATGAAGGGACATACTATCTGGCCCACCAAGTTGTGCTACAGCATCAACAAAACGCTCATGAAGTTCATGAGTCCAGCGCAGTCGCTGCTTAGAGGCAAGGCTCTGGTTGTTCATATTGTTCCCACCATTGACGGGGTCCATTGCACAAAAACACCTCACTCTATATGACCATGAACTAGTGTGTTTTTAGGAACCAAACCTTGACTTGGATCAACAGTTAGGCTCGAAAACACATAAGTCACCTGCAACCAGATTCAAGATATTTGATTAGAAGCAGAAAGCAAAAGTTGGGAAATTTTTCATGACCTAGCATCCAACTTTATATATGGTGTAGTTCAGAGAACACCCACCCATGAAGCTACGAAGAGGAATCACTACTCTAATTGATATTTGGCGGGTCAAGACACTTAGAGAATGCATTTATGTATCATAATAGATCTTTTCTTCGTCCATCTTTCCCTCCGAATTTTTTGTTTTTTTCACCAAGCGGCATCAATGGCGGGCAATTCTACTTTAAAAGGAACTGGCGGAGAAGGATGCCATCACCTAGATTTTACAAGAGCATGAGAAGATTGTATATTGATATATGTCTATATCCATAGCACATGAGGACTTCCAATTAGCATACAAGTTCCATTATTTTGAAATAAAGCCTTCAGATTGGATGCACAACATCCACATCAACTGAGCAACCTAAACAGGAAATCATCTCAGTCTCGTTAACTAACAAAGATTATGCGATCATGTCTATCCCTCAAGCTAATTTTCAGCCTTAAATGCTTCATAGCATTCACAAGTCACAACCCAGATTTTTAAGCGTAGGCGAGAAGAGACAAACAAGTAGCATCTAAAATTATATGGAGAGAGTGCATACAAGCACGTACACCACAATTGCAGATAACAACGGCTCCTGAAACTTTGGTCTCTGCTTTCGGTTTTCCCCTGTTCTTCCTTTTAGCTATGGATTATTATCTCTTGTTAGGTTGGTTCTTTTATTAATAAAAATTAACATCACCTTCATCAAAAAGTATCCACAGACGTAGCATACACGAAGGGTTCGTGCAAATGTTGTAACTGGAAACAAATTCCACCTCAACTCTTACACTGAATAAACACAAATTTTGCTAGTTTGAGACTGAGATGCAGGTGAAGGGACCTAGTGGAGCATCAGACTAGGGGATTCATCCAACTTAGACTGATCATGAAGCAGCTGGGCAGATAAGAAGAATCAAGGGAGAGAAGATTAGCATGTATCGAGGAGATACGGGGATCAACCATGGCTACTGAGAATAGGATTGTATGCAGAAAAGGAAAGTGTTTTACTTTACTTTAAGCGGCAATAGAGCTGAATTGGTCAACAACAATTATGGTAAGGAAAGGAAATGAAGGGGAGTAGCTAGTAAGCAATCTTAATCGAGGGGAATTCAATTGGGAAGGGATAGAAAGATAGAGAGAACCCAAAAAACAGCCAAATACCCAGGGGGGATATCTAATTAGGGTTATGCCAATGGAAACAGGAGAGACCCAGTATAAGGGACGACAGAAATTAAGTTTGACAAGCAAGAGACTGGAATTCTCAAAGTAGGGAAAGCTTCTGCTGAGAGGAAAATAATATAAATATACATAGCCCACCCAAAAAAGAAGCTAGAGCTATGACGATCGAGATGAATTTTGCCATACTAATGTACAGAAGCAGCAGGAGGAGGAGGAGAAGAAGGAAGAGCAACTTACCGGACACCATTGGCGGCGGCAGGCGGCAGCGGAAGCGGAAGCAGCAGGAGCAATAGAATCAGTAGAAGCAGAGCAAAAGATGTATTAGATCTCAAAGCTTGGTGGGAATAACTGAAAAATGTCAGCTCTTTTTCCGATTGTGCAGAGAGAGAGAGATGGGAAATTTGGGGAACTTCTTCCTTGCAGAAAAAGGGGGACTCTGCTAGAAATGGTGAAGCAGACAGGTAGATAGTTAGAATTTAGAAACCGAAAAGAAGCCAGGCAACCAAAGAAATGAAACCCAAAACATGAAATGATTGCTGATGAAATGATAATCTGGGGAAGACGGAACGGGAAACGGAAGCTTAATTGGACAAAAAGGTGAAAATACGAATAAGGCCAAGGAAGAAAGAAGGCAGGAGGGGAATACCAGAGAGAGAAGTGATGACACCAAAGAAATCAACCCCAATTAACTTCTCTACTTTATTATTATTCTTATTGCTTTTTTATAATATTATTATTCTTATTGTTATTAGTATTATTAATTTATTATATACTAGGTATGACTATTGACTAGTTCGAGTGGAAGATAATACTGCAAATGTGTTGTATGAAAAAATGAATGTTTAAGAAGACGTTAGGCGCTAACTAGGCGAGGAGGCACCGCCCAGCACCCAGGCCGAATAGTCGTTGCCTAGGCGAGATTAAACGTTGAAAAAAATATGATAGATAAGCCATATTCCATAAAAACCCCAAGTCGCCATATCATTATTCATCCATTCATATACACATTCAACCTTTTTCCACAATTACAAACATTTCAAGTCACCAACCATGAGGAGGGATCTCGCTGCTGGTCGATGAGGGGGAGCAGCTGGTCGAATGGAAATGTGAAATAGAATAGGGTTTGAGATTTTCACAAAAAGGCTACACTTTCCCCCTTTATTAGTTGTTCTCGGCGTCGCCCACCAGAGTGAAAACGCGCCCGAGTGCCTAGACACCAATTAGCCGTTTTCCATGGAGATTAATCATTTAGCATGCCTAGATCAATCGCCCAGGGCTAGACGGTGCGATTTCCTCCTGACCAGCTATTAATTGCACCTAGGCAAGAGATTAATCGCGTCTTCTTGAACACTGGGGAAAATTACTAAAATGAAATTCATAAAACAAAATTGTAGAAGTAGCAAGAAACAAAAATGTTGTGGGAGAGTATCGTACCCATTTGCACTCGTTGTCGTTGATGAATGAGCTATAGAACAAGGGAGAGAGGAGGATGATTTACATAATAATGAGTAAGTTCATATCATAATTATTTAGTCAAACTTCAATTAAAGCATTATACTTAAGATTTCTGAGAATAAATTTGACTCGAAGACTAATGAGGCATCGCATTCCAAAAATAGCTATGTGTATAAATAAAATAATAAGTTTTGTTACGTGAATACGACTTCTAAACAGATCTAACTTCTAAGAGGACACGAGGTTGTGAATGAGAAGAACATGAATTTCAACGACTAAGAGAGAGTAAATTGCACTTATGGACAATGACTACTTGGATTTCTAGATAATATTCTCCATACAAAATAAAATCATTATTTTCATTCTCTAAACATGATTAAAAAACAATATTTTATACGGGCGTTGATTGCTACAAACTACCCCTCCTTAACACATGGATGGAAAAGCAAAAGCTAATAGGTAGTGGATGTATACCATAAGAAGAGCCATTAGTTTTTTCTTAAAAGAGTTTTAGTTAGTCAAGTATCGCTTTAATTTGCCCATACTTTGGTGAACCAACAAAGTAGGTTGTCAATTCGCATGTTGACTCTGGGTTGACCCAAATTCTGTGAGGAAAAAGGGTGCCACACATATGAGGTTGATCCGTAATAAGGTTTGACACGTCCCGTCTCTTTTCAAAAATCAAACCATAACTCAAACCAAAAATCGGTTACTCCGGAGCAACCCAAACCACATTTTAAAATAAACAATCTGACATCATTTAAGAATTTTTCACGAAAAGCCCCAACACTTGGGCACAATCCTCAATCTCAAACACTTAAAAACGACTCAACACAGAATCTCCAGTTTATACTAATAACCATGAAACAAAATAATTAACTAATCTACCTTGACTCCTCACGAGCTTTCCGATATCCCGTCGACGCTGGTACTGCTGCTCGCCTCGCCCTGCTTCTTCTCGTGATCCCCTTCTGCTAGACTATCCTCAACCTGGTGAGTGAGAAGGGGTCAGTCTCGTCGTTACTTCCTAAGGTCTTTGCCCTAGGCAAACTCCTTACTAAACACATTAATAGGGGAATGTCTTCCTTAGATGAAAGTCGTTCTCACTTTCATCCTTTAAACTTTACTATCAAACAGTCTATAAGAGATCTCTACTCCTATCTTATCTCTAGAATTCTTCTTACTTATATTCTTAATCCATAGACACCAACACAAGGGACCACCGCGTTACGTCTCGCCGTCTAGTGTCCCTACCCTAGTATGCCAACCACGTTACGTCTCGCCGTCCGGTTGCATACTCAAACTAGGCAATGACACTACGTTACGTCTCGCCGTCCAGTCCATGCCCGATCAACTACTGCGTTACGTCTCGCCGTCCAGTAGTGACCCCAACATACTCGATCAACTGCTGCGTTACGTCTCGCCGTCCAGCAGTGACCTGACCATCTACCGCGTCCAGTAGTGGCCCAACCGCCCGGGGGTTCCTCTTACCATTAACCAACTATACAATCATACATCCATACATTCATACATAGCACAACGCGTGCCTCCACCCTTACAGGCGGTCACACACATATCGCGCATTACTCAAAAATTAACTAATTAATAACTTGAACGAAAAGCATAAACTAAAAGACCTACGACAGAGATTCTACCCCCTTTACACTCACCTCAAAAAGATGACTCCTCAATTCCTTCTTCGAAGAAACCCCTCCTTAGCCGGATTATCTTGGGGAAACCTATTAATAAGAATCCATTTTCTTAGACGACCTTTCTTGATTTAAAACCCCTTTTGAATCACTAGAAAATCCTCTCCTCAAATTCCAGTATTGAACCTCATTCCAAGGGTCCTTTAACCCCATTAAAATTTTCTAGAATTAATCCCTTAAATAACGACCATTTTTCTTAATTATTTTTATCTTGGAAGAATTTTTCACCTAATTTGAACCTTCTTATAATTTTGTACAATAATTTTTCCATGTCAATCACAAGCACCTATACTCTGGAAAATTATCCAACCCTTAAAATCTCCTCGGCAAGATTTTTATTTAATTACAACAAATATTTGAACAATTTCTAAAAATAGCAATACATATTAAAAAATACTTAAATTAAATTACAATCATCTCCTAGACGTCGTTCAATTTATAAAATTTTTATATTCAGAAAAAACCTTCAGAGAGGCTCGAAACAATTTAAAACATCTAAAAATACGTTTCTGGAAATTCCCAGCAGCTTTAGTGACCAATCAAAATCTGTCACTAAAAGCCTGTTGCTAAAACCCCAGAATTCTACCCTCACGAAAAATCCCAAATCAATCGATCTAACTCAAAGGGATCGAGTTCCCTTACCTCTAGAACGTGCCTAGGCCTAGGTTGGATGACCCGGGACGTTGATCTCCTTGTTGATCGAACCCTCAACGTCACCGGTAATAAAAATACGAGTTTCGGATTAGACTATCAATAAATCGAGTTTAGAAATCGCGAAGGGGTTCGTGATCCTTACCTATAAACACGAAAGTGATGGGATTCGGATTGGGGTCGGGATCGGTATCAGAATTGGGATCGGGATCGGCTGCGAGCGGCGCTGCCTGGGCTGGGGAGTTGCTGCGCCGCCCTCCTCTTTTCCTTCTTCTTCTCGCTGCAGAGAGTAGGGGGGGGGGGGGGGATTATTAGGGTGTTTGGGATTAATGAGGGCCGCTCGGCCCTCTAGGTTAGTATATATAACTTTTTTTTAATTATAGTAATAATAATAGTTATTATTACTATAAAATACCGGGTTGTAATAAAGGCGGTTGTAACTCTTGTACTTAACCGTCAATCCAACCGATCATATGCATTAAAGTCGAACCTAACTCTAAAATACCGGGGTGTTACAAGGTTCTCGATCTAAAGGTTATATGATGTATATACGAGTGTGTTTGAAATTTCATTATATATTGGACCAAGTACAAATTATTATTTTGGTGTAATGTTATATGTTATTACCCGCATGTTAAATGATATTTGATCTCATTATAAATGTATGAATACTAAAATACATTTTTTCATATATTCAAAATTCAAACTAGATTAGACAAAAACAATTGAACTATTAACCCTCAATCCACTTGTTCAACTGGACCAATCAATTCAACCGAGTTTACAACCTGAGTAAATCAACAAATTATATATAATAATATACAATGTCACACGAGAGGTAGAAATAGGATCCATCAAAACTCTTCATCATCATCGTCTCGATTTGGTCGACGTCCACATGGATACCTCTTGCTTTAATTTTAATGCCAAATTGGACACTTCCGAATTAACATCAATTGTAAGAAGAATCACACGGCGGCAACTATCTATCTACTTTTTTCTTTATTGAAATTAGCTTTTTTTCGGTTCGTTGGCTGAAAAAATTATATTAATTAGCTTATTTAAATGTTTAAATTTTTGAATTTTTTTTAATATTTTATAGTTAGCAAACTCGTTTATAATGTTTTGATTCTCTAATTTATCGTGAAAGTTTATCACATCCCATTTAAAATCGTATATCAAGATTTGTCATCCGAAACTCTCAAATTTATTATCTTATACAAAATATACCATTTCGTGATTCTCAATTTTGGACGAACTCTCGACCAATTTATAATAGTTCAAAATATTAAATAAAGATACTTGATTATTGGATAAATTAAGTTTATCTCAATTAAAACTTGATACACATCGTACCATTTATATATAATTCAATTCTCTAATCTCGCTCATTTTCGTTGTGGATGTTCATAAAGTATATGTATAGGATCTTATGACAAAATTTGTCTTCAAGACACTCAAATATAGTATCTTATACAATACGTATCAATTGCTAATTTTTGAAGTTTGGACCAACCCTGAACTCATGGTTGTTGTCTAGATGTCGTTTTAAAATCTCAATACAATACCTATAATTTTCCAAATATTTGAATGTGCATTCACTAAAATTTCTCTACCTATTGTGTTTGTTCATACAAACATTGTGACATTTCACATGCATTTGAATCCTGGGATGTATTGTAGGAACATCTATTGTTAATAGCTAAACATATACATATAAAAACTTTATTGTAATTTCAGCTCTAATAAATACCATTAAACTTGGCTCGTTGGGTGGAAATTGGAATACGAAAACAACTTTTTTGGCTAAGGCAACTCAATGTAAATACAACTTCCTTATTCTTACAAACTAAAATAATTTTATTTTGAGACTTTGATATCGGAAAAGTTTTTGTTACAACAAAATTTTGGTATATCACTTGCTCACAAACATATAACCAAATGACTTCTACAATTGTCTTACTGAATTAATCCTTATTAAATATTCTTCATTTTAACCCACTCATCGATTTAGACTCTTGTAACTATAAAGGTTTTGGTTTACATATCTCAACTAACACAGTAATGTTTATTCATTGTCACAATCGTCGAATTTAGTTTTGTCTACCAAGACATTCAAATATTAAACAAAAATTTTAAACCTTTATTTGATTAATGCACAGGTCAGGCGTTGGTGATTCATGATGTTTAACGTACCTCCTTAACAAACATTCATCTAACTCATTTTTCAATATATCTCGTGTTGCAGCCTAAGTTATGAAGTCCAGTTCGTCAACAATCATATCGAAGTCATTTTGAAAACTTTGATTTATAATCCATGACAATTAATAACTCCAAGTGTGAAAATTAAATTTCTTAACATACGTAAGACTTCAATAGAGTTTGCTTAAATTTCTAGAGAAAAATATTAGTAATTTGAACTTTTGATACATTGTAAATTATTGCACATGTGATTCATATGTTTTCACTTAATCAGAATGAATAAGGGGTTTTTTTTTAAGAAATGGCTATTATTGCTTGTTCAAGTTTTTATTCAAACGTTTCTTGTTTTCTCTCTTTTCATCGTTATTTTGTCGTTATAAAATATTATTATGTATGAGTGTTTATATAAATTGTTCATCAAAATGTAACATATTTTTAAATTTTAGTAAAAATGAGTAAAAAATTTACTTAGTAATCTATAATCAGATATTTATGGGTTAAAAAAATTTATATGCGTGACTCAAAGACATTAGTCTATTGTTGCGTACATCGATACAATGCAAAAACAAAAACATAAAGGATTTATTGGGAAAAAGAAAAATGAATATAAAAAATTTTAAAAATAGCAAATGCAATATATATCACTCTTCATACATAATTTATTATTGTGTATATCACTATATTGACATAATGCAAAAAAATTATGGATAAAAAAAAGAAATATTAAATGAAGAGAGATAGCTCTATTAATATATCAATAACTATTTTTTTAAAAAAAAAATTCACCTTGGCAATTTGTGAACTCTTCAAGTGCTTAGGTGGCAAGCAATTACTTTTGAATTGCCATAATATTATGTATAGATAGAAGATAGATAGATAGATAGAAGACTATCTATCTACTTTAATTGCAATTGGTAATTAGACAGAATACAAATTATTGTAGCTATTATTTTATTTTATTTTATTTTATAGAAGGGAGGCCCTGGGCCAGGAACAAAGAAACAATAAGCAGGCCAACTCAGTAACCTGAGGAAACAAGCTGCACAAAGAGGGCCGAGCAAGAACTAGACAAGCCGAGGGAAAGAAATAGCTAGCTACTAACAACAGGTACTTGAATGACCAATCTTGAGTGGCTTACTCCTATCATACCCTCTGTAATTATCTAGATTAAATCTGTTGGGTTCATAAGCTCATACGACCTGACAAGATAGACGAGACCGTACTTTGAGAGTCAGTTTGTGACTCTATTCCCCTTGCGGTACGTATGAGCGAGACGAACTACTTAACTGCGATTCAACTGTCGTCTGAGGATCAGGGTGAGCCAAATCAATTCTCTTCAAGATCAAATAAATCGCCAAGTTAGAGTCTGATTCCACCATGAGAAATTGAATGTTGTTGCTCTAGCGAGTTCCATTCCTTGATATAAACCCCAAAGTCAAGCCTCCATAGTCGTGCCATTCCCAAGATTGCTACAAAAGCCGCCAGCCCAATCTCCATTTGTGGTCACGGATGATCCTGCAAGTAGAAGATATAACGAGAGATCCCTGTGGTAGCTCCATATGTATTCAGTTTGAGCCATCACACCGGTGAGGGCGATCATTCGATCAGTTCTATGCGATTGTAAGGGGTTGTTGTCTCCAATGTAGTAGTCGAAGACTCCCATGCATTGACCCACTCGCTTGCCTTGATGATGATATAATTATAGAGATCGAGTTGATGGGGATAGCATTATCCTTGAAAGATCCACTCATGCATTCCGGTTCTTCCATATGTACCAAAGAAGCAAGGAAAAAAATTGAGCCCATTCCCCAAACCAATCTCCTCGAGTATCATTACCAAGGTTATTGGAGAGCCAATCTTCATAGTGACTGGCAAAGAAATGGGGTTGACGGTGGAGTGGCACCACCTTAATTTGTCCAGACCGCTCTTGCAACATCACAATCTCGATCGGAGGCAATGTAAGTATGTGTGTCTCAATTGAATTATGATAGTTTGGGCAAGTATGATTCTCCACGACCACGAGGTGTCTCAACTCCCTGGTTTGGTTGGTGGAGAGCCTCCCCTTGCTCGCCATTCAAAGTCAAACAAACACTCAAGTCTCTAGGACTTTGAGGCGCCAGATTTGCTTCTAGAAAGCAGGGGTTCTACTTCTAGGGGCCTGCTTGCTGGGGAGAAATAACACGAAAAGCGGAGCTGGTACTGAAATGGCCGTTGGAAGACAGATTCCAGAGAGGTTGGTCTTCATCGATCGAAAATGGATCAATAAGTTTCATTTTTATGTTGATGGTGATGTCTGTTGGCAGTAAAGTCTCGATTTTTTTAATTTCCAGAGTTAGGGTCTCAGTAGCCTGCAACAGGCCGGTCCTTCTCCTTGATAGGGATCGAGCCAAAATTTAGTGTTTTTTTACCGTTCAGAACATTTTGAGCATAGCCTTTGTGCAAGCAAGACATTGGTAGGTTGAGTAAAACTCCGCCAGGTAAAAGAACTTCCTTTAGATTTTTGAATGATGTCATTGCCTTTCCTTGCTGACCCATATTTTTTATTTTTCCAACCACTTGCGTCCAAAGAGATTGTTCATAAGTGACAATCTTCCAATCCCCCTTGGCCAACATTGTGAGGTTAGCTGGTCTTGTTGGACGCACTTCTGCACCCCCTACAGGCGAGGTAGAGAAAGTTGTTCCCAGACCATAGGATGGAATTTGCTTTTGTCAAATGAACCGTTTGTCGCAATTATCAAGGGACTTGCAAACCATAGCAGACAAAGCTTTCGAACATGAGGTAAATTGACATAGAAGAAGAGATCGATCTTACTAGGGTGATGCGAGCTTCAAGTGGTAGGTGTCTTGTTTTCCAAGTATCTAACTTTTTTATATTAAGAAGTAGCTTTTTGTACCTAAGCTTGGTTATCCGACCATTAATAGTGTTTAGGCCTAAGTATTTCCCCAAATCAGCCGTGAGGGGAATACCGGCCCTGTGACGACTAAGGATTTGAACTCTATTTCTATGAATGTTGGGGGAGACCTATATGGGCGATTTGTTGAGATATACTCATTGACCCGAATTAGAGCACAAGTCTTCCAAGCAGGCTTTGATGACATCAATTTTATCTCCCCTCAGCTTCTGCAAAAAGAATGAGGTTGTCAGCAAAGAATGATGATAGAGCTTTGGACCATCCTTAGAAACCTATAGGGGTTCTCAAAGTTTCCCAACAATTGCTCTTTCAATTCTATGGGCCACGAGTTCCATGCATAAGAACAAATAAAAAGGGTTAATTACTACCACACTCTTATATCTCTTCTATTCTAGTTAGTGATCACTTAGTTTATTTCTTCATGACTTCGATTTCGAGTGTTACATTTTGTCATGGTCACCTATGAAACTACTACGTTGTGATATTGTTTTAGGCAAGGTGCAGATCTACACCTAATGTAATAGTGAAATGGAAAATGTGCTTCCTCATTTCAAAATCTCTGCATCTAGACGTAGGGGTGGTAATCGGTAAACCGGTATCCGGTATACCGGATACCGTCGGTATTTAGTATTCGGGCGTGTGATTTTACATTCGGTAGTACCGGATAAGAGTCGGTAGTTACCGACGGTATACCGGTATACCGATAATACCGATTATAAAAAGAAAAGTAAAACGTGTGGTGCAGGTTTTATATATGCGTTGGAACAGGGCATCATACCAGAGGCGCTCGAACCCCTGCACGACTTTCGATTGCTATACAGCGGTATCTGCTTGAAGAGGAGGGCCTCGACTACTCCGGACCCCAGTCGGGGCTCCTCAGGGTAGTGATGTACTGATGAGTTGGAAACAGACATGACATGTTTGAGGTATAAGAGTTTTTTTTTACACCACATATGCAAGATCCATGCTAGTCATAGTCTTTGTCAATCTTTAGTCATTCTTGTATCTGTACATGGGAAGAGAAACGGAAGTGAATGTAGATGATGAAATCCATAAAATAAGAAAAAGGAAAGAAAAGAAAAGGAGAAGCAAACAAGTCACAGACCAGTTGTAAGGTTAGGAAGGATGGTGAGAACTGAAAAAAGATGATAGGAGAAGTGTATGATTAAGCTCGAAATTCCTGACCCTGAGCCAGAGCCCCTGTCTTCCTCCCTCTTCTCTTCTCTTCACCAGCAGGCAGCAGCATAGTAGCATCTAGCATGTGAGAATCTAATTGTTTGTGAGAAGTAGCATGTGTGATTGTGTGAATTAGATGACTTAGATGATTGTGTGAATTAGATGACTTAGATAACTTAGATGATTATGCCTGTGTTATTCTTCTAATTTTTTCATAGTCAAACCAACAAAGGCCCTCATAACCAGTATTCGGTATACCAGCATTAATATCGGATACCGACTATTCAGTATTCGGTATACCGGATAACATTCGGTATCGGTATTCGGTGGGTACACTGTCTAGTTCTGGTATATTGAATACCGGATAATCGGTATCCGGTATAGCGAATACCGACCGATTACCAGCCCTAATCTAGAGCAAAAGTAGGACGAATAGATTCGTCTTCTCAATAATTTATTATTTTTATTAACATGAAAAATACATTAGTAGTAGGATTTGAACTATGGTATCTTCGAACAAAGACAAGAAACATAACCAACTATACTAAACAAATTTGTTTGATAATTTTATATAAAAAATGTACAAAAAGCTAAAATCTGAAAAATCGTAGGACTTTTCGATCATGGTTAGCTTACCCACTAATTCTCCCTGAAATATATTTTGGTGTTTAATACTTCTATTTTCATATTTTGATTATATTAATTCAAGTTTAATAATTAATTCACTTTCTATTTATCTTATAAAAGGAGGATAATTTTAAAATCGCAACCCAAATGTCATTGGTTCAAATATTGCATATCGATTGCAGTATTGAACGTGTAGAAGCGATGTAGTGTTCTTAACATTGACTTAATTTTTATAACTACATTAAGCAATGATATTTTAACACAAAACTTTGAAGTGAATATGGGCACATGTGTCTTTATAATAGGGGTAAATATGGAAAGATTGAGTGGTGTTGGTGTGCTGATTGCGAATGGAAATTGCGATACTAATGTAAACATGCCCAAAAAGTACCCTGATCCACTAAACGTTCAATCATCGCCGTCTCTCCATAACAAGAAATGAAATATGATAATCGACAATCCACTAAAAGTTTCCCATCTTTTCACCAAAAAAAAAAAGTTTCCATCTGACTCGACAATCGACTAACCTCTTCATCCTCCACCTCTATTGTTACGCTAGAGCAAAGAGGGGTAAACATGAAAAGTTTGAGTGTTGTTGGTTTGCCTAAGGCGGACGTAAAAGACTCTACTAATGTAAACAAGTTCAAATAGTGCCCCGACCAACTAAAAGCCCAACCATCGCGGGATCTCCAAACCTTCCTCTCGGATTCGACACCCGGCTAACCTCCTCATCACCATCCTAATCTCCTCTCGTTGAAGGCTTACATGCTGGTCAATTTCTTTCATTGGATTTTATATTCTTTTTGGGATCTTCCCTGCTATGCAAAGCAAACTAAAGAAACATATGCATTTTTTCTTAATTTGTTTTTAGTTGAATTGCAATCACGATTATGCCTCGAATTAGTTGGTTGCAATATGTTGTCCGCAGTAATTACATCTTCCGACACCTTCATTATGTTTAAAACAGTTTATCAAATTTTGAGTAGGACTACCTCCGGGCTCCGGCCAACGGGCCGAGCTATAATTTAGTTGTTTAGTAGTAGTTTTTTTTTTTTTTTTGAGAAAGTTGTTTAGTAGTAGTGATACGCTTGGTAATTTCCCTCACAATGCTTCATCATAAATTCATAACGAGTACCATTGATCACTTTACGAACAAAAAAAAAGTTCGCATATCAAACAGACAAACAGAAAAGTTGAAGGACCGAACTGATATTCCCGCCGTTCGTCGCCCTAAAATTAAATTATTTCGCCCTAAATCGTATTAAATTGACATTTATAACCCTAATGCCCAATTTCAACCGGTGTTCGTAACTTGGATGGTCGTCCAGCCCACCAACCGTCCGACCACCGCTGTCGTTTATCGTTCAACTCCTTAATCTTGCTACCCAATGTCATGTCTCAGCGCCACATCGTCGAACGAAATGAAAGAGAAAGTAAGGAAAGGGCATTCTTTCTCGACGAAATCGGAGACCCACCAGAGCTACAACTCCAATCAATTGAGATCCGGCTGGTTGGCTTCAACTCGACGCTGAAGAATCACGGTGCTCCACTCGTCCAGCACGTCGTCGATCTCAAACGACACATCGTTCAGGCGGTGGATCCATAACTTCACTATTTCCTCCGTCAGCTGCCGCTGCTCGGCATCGTTGAGCAAGGCGCGAAAGCTTCAATCACCGGCCTCCCCCGTTGTTTCAGTTCCTCGAAAAGGATTGTTCCCAACTGGTCCAGTACCGTGGAGACTGTACCGGCGGCTGCCATGTTTTTTGGGGGAAGAAATGGATAGAAAGGTATTAGAGATAAATAAATTATCTCTAATAAAAGGTTGATTGAGGGAAAGCTTGTTCGGCAACCTCCCTTGTTTCAATTGTTGAAAAGCGAGGGGAATATAAAAAAATTGACTGGATTGGAGAATAGCAATGGGTCGGCGGCGAATGAGAGAAGGTCGGCGGGTGGGGAATGGGAACGGTGCCGGATTGTGGGAACGACAGCGGTGGTCGGACGGTTGGTGGGCTTGACGGCAATTCAAGTGACGGACACTGGTTGAAATTGGCTTTAGGGTTATAAATGTCAATTTAGTACAATTTAGGGCGAAATAATTTAAATTTTAGGGCGACGAATAGCGATTCAGAGTAACTAACCTTCAGAGTGCTACTATGCTTTGCTGTCTAACAATTCCATAATTAAATTAAAGATGCGCCTTTCCCTTTTTCTCTTCCTTCGTCTCACGTTTTCTTCTCTGTCACTCAAATTCTTACCCGTTCATCGTCATCTTCCCTTCCTCCGGCGGCAATTCTCTGCTTCCTTCCTTACTATGAATCGCCGTATCTTTTCTTTCCCCCTTCTGCGATCAAAGCAAAGGGAAGTAGCCTTTAGATGTCCGATATCTTCTCTCTTTAGTTTCCATTGTAGGTTTATCCTATTGTTTTTAGTTTTATTAAAATAATAATAAAGATAAATCAGTCAATCATAACAAACCTTATTCTCACCCTCCGTCCTCCGAGGCTCCGACGCGTAATAGAATCGCAGCTCCATTATTCTCTTTCTCTCTCGCCCCATGGACGGCGGCTGCGACGGCGGTTGCTTTCTGTGCACGGTTTCTGTTGCGGCGAGGTAGTGATTGTTGTTGGCCTGGAACGCAGCACCGACGGGTAGCAGACAAACGAATCTCAGTTTGAGGCCCGTTTGGTTTTGATTTCTTCCATTGTAAGTTTAGTTTTGGTTTCGATTTGGAGAATTCGTGAAGCCGGGGAAAGAGCAAAAAAGATCGCCGGGGAGAAGAAGGAAAATAAAGAAAATGAATCTGCGGAACGTGGTGATAGGGATGCTCTTCATCACTGTGATTGCTCCCATCGCTCTTTACACTGACCGATTCGCCGCCTTCGCTCCTTCTTCCTGTCAGCTTCCCTTTCTCACTTCCTCTCTTCTTTGATCGATTCTCCCCCCCTTTGCTCATTCTTTGTTATCTTCTTTCCTCTTTCTCTGCAGCTCGAATCGATTTCTTTGAAGACGTCACTTCATTCGTAAGTTTCATTCTCTCTCTTCGGCTTTCGTTGAATTGATAGGACGCGGGAGAGGTTCCTGATATTCTGCTGCTCCTTTTCTTTTCTCCAGACTCTTCCAGCTGATTCTGGCCGTCTCAACGTGTTACCTCAGGTACAATTGATTCGTATTTCCGCCTTATAGCCTTTCGCCTTTGTATGGCCATCTCATATCCTCAGTTTCCGCCATTGATTCGTTTTGTAGGAGTTGTCCACTGTTTTTAAGGACCCTATTGGGGTTGTTTACACCACCAACACCAACTCCACCCAAGAAGAGGTGGCGTCGTCATCCGATGATGGAATTATTCAAGATTCAATTGCAGCAGCAGGAGCAGGTGATTCCTCGTCTTGCAACCACTTTCCACCAGAGTGGTGTCGTCGGTCCATTTGGAAATTAATTCCTTTATTTTGGGCTCATTTGATTTAGATTCGCAATCTCAAGCTGTGAGAGAGCACAAATCTAGAGTGTTGTCGGCGACTGATGAACAAGTGCAATCTCAAACAGATGCTGTCATCAGACGGGTCACTGATAGTGCCATTGCTCAGCAGGAATCAAGGAGTGATGGCACGGATGCTGCCTCCAACTCCAAGGATCCTAAATCCTTGGCTTCCAACGTTGTTACCCAACGTGCATCTCAAGATCCGGTATGCCATTTGAAGCTTCTCATGCCTTGGAAACGGAAGAGATCACTCCCCTTTCGTAGTGTTTACGTTATGGTGGTTAAGTGTATTCTTTGATTGTGATGGCCGATAGAAGAGTTTCCCCCTGGTAGTTGGTACTTGTGCAAATTATTTTGCTGCGTCCCAATATTGTGTTCACAATCCCAAAAGAAACTTAAATCCCCAGTTACTTTGAGTTGAATAATGTATGTAAAGTATTCCTCCCACCCGGTTTCATTTCCTTGCAATAGAAGCTGAAATTATTCCCACTGAAGAAGGAATTCAAGAACACTTCTGATATGACCTTCTATATTTTCGATTGAGTATTTGGTATCACATACAGTCATGATTCAGTGCAGAACAGGAAAATGTCTCCCACACTTCTGTTTATGTAACAACAATGAGTCTTTCTGTTGAATGTAATGTGTGAGTTTAACCAGTAGAGTTAACTTATTTTCTTTATGATGTTTTTTTTGGTAGCCTGAGCGAAAACCAGGGGTGAAACCTGGCAAAGCTAGCGAAAAGGATCACTTGAAACCTAAAGTGGGTAAACAGACGGATCAAAATGCTATGTCAGATGCTCGGGTACGTCAATTAAGAGACCAGCTAATTAGGGCAAAGGTGTACCTGTCACTTCCTGCAACAAAGAATAATCAACACTATACGAGAGAGCTCAGATTACGGATCAAGGAAGTTGCACGTGTCCTTGGCGAAGCAACGAGAGACTCAGAGCTGCCCAAAAAGTAATGCTTATTTTCAAGAATCTAGTACATGATCACTCTAATCTCTAATATCTGATATCCATTATATTGTTTTGATGGTCTTCTATGTTAGTGTTGTATTCAATTGATTAAAGTTGATCCATTAAAGCAGTGCAAATGATAAATTGAGGACAATGGAGCAGTCCCTAACAAAAGGCAAGCAGATACAAGATGACTGTGCTATTTGGGTGAAAAAGCTCCGCGCTATGCTGCACTCCACGGAGGAGCAGCTCCGTGTGCATAAAAAGCAGACCATGTTCTTGACTCAGTTAACTGCAAAAACCCTCCCTAAGGGTCTCCACTGCTTTCCTTTGCGCCTGACAACTGAGTATTATTCATTGAACACTTCTCAGCAACAGTTCCCAAATCAGGAGAAATTGGAAGATCCTCTGCTGTATCATTCTGCTTTATTCTCAGATAATGTTTTGGCAGCTGCAGTTGTGCTGAACTCTACCATTACACATGCCAAGGTGAAATAAGTTTCTGTCCTGCAGTTAGTAATTACAATGCTAGGAAGATTACAAAAAACATGAATGGTAGATCCTGATTAGATTTTTTGGGTTGTTTGCAGGAGCCTTCAAAGCATGTTTTCCACATTGTTACGGATAGGCTCAATTATGCTGCAATGAGGATGTGGTTTCTAGTGAATCCACCTGGCAAAGCAACTGTTCAAGTTCAGAATATCGAGGAGTTCACTTGGTTAAATGCAAGTTACAGTCCTGTTCTGAAGCAGTTGGGATCTCCATCTATGATAGATTACTACTTTAGGTCACATCGAGCTAGCTCGGATTCGAATCTGAAGTATCGGAATCCCAAGTACTTGTCCATCTTGAACCATCTGCGGTTTTACCTGCCAGAGATATTCCCAAAGTTGAACAAGCTGCTGTTTGTTGATGATGATATAGTAGTGCAGAAGGATCTTGCTGCTCTTTGGTCCCTTGATTTGAGAGGTAATGTGAATGGTGCAGTGGAGACTTGTGGAGAGAGCTTCCATCGTTTTGATCGGTATCTCAACTTCTCCAATCCTCTGATCTCTAAGAACTTTGATCCGCATGCGTGTGGATGGGCATACGGGATGAACGTCTTTGATTTGGATCAGTGGAGAAGGCAAAACATCACTGAAGTGTATCACAAGTGGCAGAAGCTGGTGAGTGACAACACTAGTGTATTTTGTGTTATCAATCGACCTGCATTCATTTGTATTGACTTGTGAATGTGCAGAATCATGACAGATCGTTGTGGAAGTTGGGAACGCTGCCACCAGGTTTGATTACATTCTGGAAACGAACCTACTCATTGGAGCGATCGTGGCATGTGCTGGGGCTGGGGTACAACCCAAGCGTGAATCAGAAGGAGATAGAGAGGGCGGCAGTGATACACTATAACGGCAACATGAAGCCGTGGCTGGAGATAGGATTGCCCAAGTACAGGGGGCACTGGGCGAAGTATGTAGACTACGAGCACCCATATTTGAGGGAATGCAACATCAACCCTTGAAGACAGATAGGCAAGGCGCTAAAATGGTTGCTCTGTAGGGGCAGGGCAGGAGAAGGAGGAGCCGAGAGAGTGAGTACCTATTCTTTTCCTTGTACACAATTTGTGTGTATGCCTTACTTTTTAATATCTTTTTCTTTGGGGGTGTCTGTTTTAGTTTTTGGTTTCCCACTCCTGAGTAGATTGATTGAGCAGAGACAGAGAGCATGCAATGCAAAAAGTTTGATGAAAGTTTTTGGAGTAGGAGGGGGAACGAGTACTAGTCGGTGGTGTATTTTGTAAATTGGAAGAAGATTCATGGTTGGTTGGGAAGAGAGGAAAGAGATGCGCGGTACAATGAAATCATAAACGAGCCGTAAGTTGATGCTTTGTGCTTTGCCAGGCAAATGAGTTTGTTGAGTAATCTTTGCGGGAAAGAATTCTAGTTGTATTTTGCAATTGCATTTCCAGCGAGTTTAAGTAGGTGCGTGCAGACAGGGGCCAGTAATGACCACTTGTACATACACTAGCTTTTTATTCGATCCGTTGGTCGGATGAATTTAGTTTTATTTATTATATTTTATATTAATCTGTTTTTTCATATTTTCAAATAATTTGGGATCGTCTAAATAATTTATTAGTGGGTTGAAACTAATATTTGTGCGAATTATTGATTGTAACATTAGTTAGTTTATAAGAATTTGTATTGATCATGCTATCGCTTACTGTTGTCTATATATTTTTTACATCTAAGAAAAAAATCACTTCCTATTGTTAGAATAAATTACTTAAAAAATATTTCTTCATAAAATTTGATATTATTCACTTATTTTTCTATTATATCCATGAAAATAAAATAATTAAGCATTGAAGTATTAATTATAAACTCCAAGGGATTTTCCCTATTAGTAATTTGGAGGGATAAAAATTTATCAAATAAAGGATTCAAATTTTATGGTCGACAACCATTAGGTACTAATTGAGAAAATACAAAATTATTAACTAATAATTCACTTTTAAATAATATATATCTCCAAAAGCAGTTGTGTTTGTTAATAGCTAACATTAATGTATACGGATAGTACAATTGTATTATAATGGACATATCTGAAATATTCCAATTATTTCTTCAAAATTTTAATTAAATAAGGCACTCTATAGTTCAAACATACAATCATTTGTTGTGAAAATTAAGTTTTTGAAAAAGATTCATGATTTTCAGAAATCAATATGGATTTTTTATAATTTATTTTGGTGTTGCCTTTGATATCTAAAAGTCAACACTTATAGATTTGTCTACTATGTCATTTGAAAGATTCTAAAAATTTATAACAAATATGTACCACCAACAAATAAAAACTTTTTTGTCAAAAATTTGTGTGCCCATAAATTTGTTCTTAGCTTTGTGCTTGGCTTTTAGCTCGATAGTATAACATATGCTAAATTTACGACAGTCCTTGTGTCTGCCACCTATTTCATAGCATATTAGATTTCGAGTATCCACAAATATTAGTACGCTTTCAACAATTATGTTTATAGTTACACGTATACTAACATTATGAAGTGAAAATTTACAACAATAAATAACTATAATAAAGAAAATTAATTAAAAAGAATACCATCCGTAAAGCTCAAGAATTATTAGTGAATTAGTTGGTAATCTATTATCCTCTTGCAAAAAAATGGACAATTACATTATGCTCATCGCTATTTTTGGAAGGTCAGATGATCAACAATAAAAGTCGGGGAATTTCAAGAAGATTCCCAAAGATGTTTCCCTCCCTCCAGGCAAATGATCGAATTTGCTTTTGCTAGTAGAGAATGGAGCTGTTATACCTGCATAAAACAATGTCTCTTGAAATAGTGTTTATTTTCAACAACTTGCACAATTCCAAATTGATTCATAGGTCAACGCGTTCACATATTTTATTGACTTATCTGTTGATCATTATAATTAGAAGCAACAAATAAAATGAAAAGCATAGTGATAAAGATGACTATTAATACCATAGACCGATAGACGCATCCCTCTTCGCTACTTTCTGTTGGCAACTACGGAAAAATAGAAACCTCTGGGCCTTCGAGAGACTATTGGCGCCGGCAACCCAGTTAGCCTACCAAATCCGGCAAATGCGAGTGCAGATTGATCAATCTTCCAGGAGGATTGGGCAGGTTCTCGGGGAGGCTACAGAGCGGGTGGAAAGGGGAAATAGAATAGGGTTTGGGATTTTCACAAAAAGGCTACAATTTCCCCTTTATTAGTTGTTCTGGGCGTCGCCCACCAAAGTGAAAACGCGTCTCCGAGTGCCCAGGTGCCTAGATCAATCGCCCAGAGCTAGACTGGGCGATTTCCTCCTGCCCAGCTATTAATCGCGCCTAGGCGAGAGATTAATCGCGTCTTCTTGAACACTGAATAAAAGTGGACCAAACAAAGACATTACATCCAACTCATTTCAGTTTCATCTTAACACAGTATCGGAGGCATGTACTATTATTATACAAATGATCTTACGCTCTCAATTAGGAACTAAACGAAGGTTAAATGCTTGATTGGCAAACTAAATCGATGAACCTAGTGATCTTAAAGAAAAAATTAATGATTACATGATTTCTTGGACCAAACTACTAAAGGAAAAAAAGAAAAAAGAGACCGTACATTAGCATAAGAACTCAACAAATTACTTATAAGAACTAATGACATAAGGAAAATGTAAACTCAAACCGTTCTTCCGAAGGTCATGGATTAAATCATTAGTTGTCGATTACATAGCCTAAACTGCAAGTTATATCCAAAATAGAGGCAATTTAGAAACAAAAAAGTTAGATAAGAAAGCCGTGAAACACAGAAAAATTGAGTGAACAAAGTGGGAAGTATTGCTTTCAATTAAGCTTGATTATGTTGACATAAAGCAGGCACACATTGACGTTGGAAACCTAAACAAAAAGCTTAAAAAGTGGCAAGAGAATTCTTCCCTTGAGGTTCAAATATAGCCTACCTATATGAGTAGAGCCAAGTAATTACCATGATTCCATTTTACACATACCATCTCACAACCAACTGCTGCTAATGCTCTGGTCCGTTCCAAACCTCACCTGCTCATATCTCCAATACCATATCACGAAACCAAGAATTATACACAACTAAAAGATCCAATAAGGAGAGTAACTTAGCATGGAACTTTGTGATGGGGGCAAATTCTATGGTCAGTATTAAGCTGTGCAAATTATATCACCTCTGCAAAGCTCACTACTTCCAGTAGTTTCTCACAGAACCAGCTACCGTCCTAATCCCTTCCTTCCTTCCTTCCCAGGGCCAGAGTGTGAAAAATGGTGTCCATCTCCGCCAAAACCACAGCTTCTTCCTTCATCCATGCATCTCTCCGTCGCAACCCCTCTCTAGGGGTTTCCTCCGCCCCAGTTCTTGGTGAGTACTCTTGACGCCCCCCTCCCCTGAAATTCACAATTACCTCTGGCTTTTATCAATTCAGCTTGGGGTAACCAAGAAATTGAATCGATTGGGTGATATGCAGGGCTGCCGTCGATGGCGAAGAGAGGGAGAGTGGTGAAGTGCTCGGCGGAAGGAAACGGAAAAAACGGCAGCGGGTGGGAGAAGAAGGGGATGATGAGCACTTCGCTGATGGCGGCGGTGGCCGCAGGAGCTGCGTCGAGCCCAGCGGCGATGGATCCTCAACGGATGCGAGTAGCTGGAGCGATTTGTAGCGACCTTCTAGAGGCTGAAGCAGAGAAGAAAGAAGAAGCAGGGTTCGTGGCGGAGGGGGAGACGGTGGTGGCGGCGGCAGTAGTTGTGCTTCTCGCCGGAAGGGAAAGCCTCGATCGTCGACAACCTCTTCGCCACGGAGATAGTTCGGTGCACTCCCAAACGCGATCTCCTCAGTCGCAGCAGAAGCGGGCCGTCACTGCTTTCCGCCACTGACCACCAAAACGTCTGGTCGTCTTCCCATGAACTCAGCAACAGCCGGCCGTCAGCGCCTTCCTCCGCTGAACACGAAACCGTGACGCCCTCTTACCAGAATTTTCCGATGGAAACTGATTTTCCTCCTGTCCTGCGGGTAGGCGAAAGAATAACGTGGGAACCCAGTAGAAAAGGTGGTATTTCAGCCAAACGAAAATTAAATAAAAAATAAATGATAACTAAATGATAACGTGGGAAACCAGGAGAAAAAGGTGGGTAGTGGACGATTCTTAGTTCTGCAATTTGGCGGGGAGTTATATTTTTTCCCCGCTCAACACCCTGCCACATCAGCTTCCTAAAATCACTCTATGGACAGGAAAATTTGAATGGGGGTGGCGGTTTTACTTTTCAGCTATAAATTATACTGTTGATACAGATGCACCTAAATATAGATGGAGTTCGATAACGAACCTTGGGGCCACTTTCACAGACTGGTTATGGGTGGCTGTCTTGGATTGCCAATTTCACATTGTAGTGGTCCAATCGGTATTGAACCGTTAAAAAAGCAATTGGTGGCTTATAGTTAATAAAGTTATAAGTAGAAAACACATATTGGTTGTAATTCAACAATTTAATAGCTAAAATGAATTATATTTTTCATGTACCACTTTAGCGATTTTCGTTATACAATACCACCCGCCACTCATTCTTATTCTTTCGCTAACATCTTATCTCTCTCTGGAGACAACGAGAGGAGAGCAAGGACAACTACAATTATGGCCAGAAGCAGCTAGGAGCATCCACCCCTGTTTGGCTGTTTCTGGCGACGATAGCAGCTGTAAGAGTGGGCAGAGCTTACTTGTGTTCGCCAAATCAACGGCTAGATGAGGGGAAGTCGTCGTTGGGTTCGCCGACAGAGGAGGTAAAGTTGTTGTACCTGGGTTCGCTGGCCTAAGCCCTGAGGAGATGAACTCGCCAAATCGACACAACAGGGGGGTGACGAAGGTTTCAGCTGAGAGAGACTATTTTAGTGTTTCCAAATCAGGGTTCTCGATTCCCATTCCACGCTTAACATTTTTTATTTTCCAATTTTCATTTTCCGAGTTTTTTTATTTAGACGGACAGGGGTCGAAAACGGGTCGAGCGGCTCAAGCGGCCTGAGCGATCAACAGTGGCGGATCCAGGGGGTGGCCACCCCGGGCCCCGACCCAGCCCTCTTCTGGATTCGGAGTTAGTATAGTATTTATGAATTTTTCGATTTTAGTTATTCGGCCTAGTGTTATTTTATAATAAGATTGTGTGTAACTAGAAACATGATTCAGATTAACATATTCAAATCACTACTATAAATTTAGCCTAGAAATTCTAGCTCCAAAGACTATTTTTCTAAAAAAAACAATGAAATCTAAAATTGTAAAAGTCTAAAACGTAAAAGACTATAAGAAATATGAGGTTTGTTCCCTTGAAAATTTACTAAAGCAGTTAGTGGATATAGGTATGGACACACAATGCACGATTGATTTGTCTAGTGTTGACGCTGCTCGTATCAACAACTACTACAAGGAGAACCTTTTCAACAATGAAACATATGAAAACTGATTTCGCAACAAAATGAACGAGGAATTTCTAGCCGATTGCTAAAGTATTTTATTTAAAACAATGTATACTATTGGTATGGATGTGGACTCCATAATTGATGCATTCGCTAAATTAAAATACCGTCGTGTACAATTTATATTGTAAAAAAAAATATAATGTTATTTTACGGTTCTAATTTTTTAATGAAAGGCGGCCCAGTGCTCTTCTGTGTTCTGGATCCGCCGCTGGCGATCAACCATTTTGGCCTCTCACTAACCTGGAAATTTAAGCGCTGCGACTTTTACGCTGACCTGGGTGTCGTCAGATCCTAGACTCTTTGTCAGTTTGTTTAGAGTTTATGGCAGTTCCTAGAGCTACCAACAGTGTTGCCCATAGTTCCTATTGTCTCTCGTAGAGAGAGAGTCTTTTGATTTTATTGGGTGGTTTCAGTAGGTTGTCGCTTGTAGGGGGTTCCTGGATAGTTTTATTTGTATAACTCTTGTCTTCACTTGATATCACACGGAAATAAAAATAAAAAAAGCTATGGACTTTTGTGGGATTAAGCAATTTGCGTGCCTCCGCTCTAACTCTACACTTTGGTTTATGGTGACATCATGTTATGATTATCGAAAATTTTTAAATCCACATTCTTTAATGTGTATGTCTACAATGGAAAATATGAAAATTTCGTAACAAAGTGGGTTCAAGTTCATTCAGCCACATGTCGTTCTCTTGCCCATCAATTATCTTTCCAGGTCGTCGAACTATCCTATGTCGTTCAACCCTCTGAGACTCCTCAACTCATTCCCCTACCTTCAAATTGAATCTAAAAACACAATAACTGGGTCAATATTTTATAATCCGCCATATTGATGGTAAATTTAACAAAAACCGTCCAGTTCCATCCAAAAAACCGTCAATTAAGTCCAGTCAGCTTGACACGTCATCCCAAAAAATAAAAAAAAATTAAACAAATCAGACCCACTTAACCAGCCGACCCAACCCAACCCGTCCGACCAACCCACCCACCCTTTCAAAATGGGACCAGCGCCAGCGAAGAACAAAAATTCCAGCAACCACCGCCGCCCCCGGCCCCTCTCTGCCATCCCTGTATCTCTAGCAAACACCGTCGCTGCACCTACCTGGTTCTAGCGATTGAAGGGCGGGTCTGTCCGTGGGAGCAGACGAATCGACCGTTGGGATGACGACGAAGAGCAGATATGGTGACCACCTATTTGAGACAGGGGTTCAGCAGCTTGGATCTGGGACGAGCTGGGCCAGCGATAGTGGGCGTACTGCCGATTGCCGCCGTGAGAGGATAGCGACGAGGAGAAACGAAAACTGGCGGGAGGGAGAGGAGGATCCGGGTGGGCGGCTTCGGCGAGGAGGGGATGATGAGATCGTCCGCCGGCGAGGAAGAATCATCTGGCATCCGCTCGGCTGTGATGTCTACTTCAAAACCCTCTCTGTCGTCGATGGTAAATGGACCGGGGAGAGTTGTTAAACTTTTTGGGTTTATTTTGTAATGAGAAGTTTGTATTGGTTGAGGAATTATTGGTTTATGGAATTTGGAGGCGGCAGAGAGTTGTAGCAGGGGAATGAAATTGATAAATAAACAAGGGAAAAGCTTTTAATTGATTGTTTCTTTCTTGCACCAAATCCACGTTACAAACACACATGTAGAAAGCATAAGGAAACCGAGAGATCTCAAGCGACGAGCAGGGGAGAGGATTGCCCTTTCTCCCGCCGAAAGAGAGCGACTGCTGGGATTTTTGTTCTTCGCTGGCGCTCGTCAGTCGTCCCCATTTTGACGGATGAGTGGGTTGGGCGGGCGGGTTGGGTTGGGTCTGCTGGTTAAGTGGGTCTAATTCATCTATTTTTTTATTATTTTTGGGATGACGTGTTAAGCTGACTGGACTTAATTGACGATTTTTTGGATGGAATTGGACGGATTGGCCGTTTTGATATTCGTCCAAAGGTATGTGACTGAAACGTGCAAAAATAAAGTTTAGTGACCGTTTTGTACTAAGTGATAAGTTGTGTGACTGTTTCTGCTAATTACCCAAAAAATACTGATGCAAGTCTGGCGGTCATAAAGAGAATCACCAAAGGTTTTTTTGCATAAGGAATTGCAATAATAATTTGAGAAGATTTAAGATAATTTTAAACATAGTTAAAAAATGATAAAACAAAGCTCTCCCGACCATGATAAAGCTAGTTCTACTCATATTATGGTTGTTTTTAAAAGATATTCATCACATATTTTGACTAGTTTGTTATATGTAAATCTTTGTTCAATTTGTTATCGGTTGTCTTGGCTGATTTTGAAATCTATTCATTACATATTTTGTCCTATATTTTATCGATTATTCTTGGCCAATTTTGAAGACAATTCTTAACAGTTTCTAACTGATTTTTTATCGGCTATTCTTGACCTATATTGATAGGAATTCAATCATAGATTTGGACGATTTTTTATACACAATTTTTTTTATCAAGGACTAAACCAACAATGCATACAACTCACTTTGATCCGGTCGAAGTTTTATTTTGGTCCATTTTTTTTCAGTATTTATAAAATTCATGAGATTAAGGACTAGTTCAGTTCGGTGTAGTCCGAGCCAAACATCAATAGAAACTTAAGGGACAGTCAAAGAATACATAACAGCTAAAACTGAAGCAAAATCGTAATGGATGAGAAATCTCTGATCGCCTGAAAACTTTAGAAAACTTCATATATTCATATTCCTATGCACACCCCAAAACTTCCTCTTCTATTTCTTACATACTTTCTTCCCCTGCACAGAACAAAGTAGCAATGGAAGCACCGAACAATCCACTTAAAACGTAAACCAAAAGACTAACCAAAGATCAAAAAGATCCGACTGATCATCGTCCATTTCCCTCATTCTTTCATTTACAGTTCATCAGCACAGAGTTAACGACATACATGAGGAGCCGAATGTTGGATGCATCCCCTGAAGAAGTTGTGGGTAGATTCCTGTGATGATTCAGTATCTGATACACCTGCTCGAAGATGGGTCTCACGTGCACCGAGATCATTGGATCTGCAGGGTTGATGGCCACCGCCACATCAGCCATCCACGACACCTTCTTTGTGGTCTCATTGATGATATCACACGCCAATTGTTGAAGCAGTGCCAGGATTACTCCTTGGCTTAAAGGTAGTGGTGACATTGACAATATCGCCTTCAAATCAACCTGGTCAGAGATATTCCAGAAACAATTAGCCAACCAACTTCAGATCAACAACTTCACAACTAATATTTTAATAGCATCGGTACCTGTGAGCATAGCCAGGATACTATAGACACGTCGCTTCTATGAAGAGCTTTATGAAATGCATCGTCATACTTGCCCTCAGCAATCAATCTAGATAGTTCTTTTGTAGGATCTAATGGTGCCTCGGACTGCTAATATAAATGCATATATACCAAATTAAAACCAGTCATAAACTACACAAATCTAACTGAACAGAGCAACAGTAGTGGCAAGAGGATTACTAAAAGTTTCACCTAAAGCAACTAGACAAACATCAAGGAGTAAAAGGCATACCATCTCATGCAAACTTGACATCGGTCCATTAGTCAAAGCAGACGGCTGAATAGCTTTGGAGTTGGCAATAGCTAAGAGCTTGCGTTGACCATCAGCCAGCTCTCCGCTTAACGTTTTTGTGATTGAAGATGCTGAATTGATAGCTTCCTACACTTGTCCAAAACAACCTCATCCTGAGTTAACGGCAAGTAAATAAACTTGGATGCATCTTGTATACTAAAATAGCTTGAGAGATGAACATACCCTAAGAGTGATTGCTAGAGAAGAATGTGCTGAATCAAACTGGTGCTGAGCAGCATTGATATGACTGGAAAGTCCTTTCTGAAATGTAGCATCAACTTGATCGAACATAGCTTTGCAAGCCATTTCAAATGCAGGAATTACTGAAGCTTCCAGGCTAGATCTCAGTGACTCCTGCAAAACAGTTTGGTCCCATGAAGTAAGCATATACAAGTTT